GCGCCACCATCAACATGGATGGCACCGCGCTGTTTGAAGGCATCGCGGTGATTTTCCTGGCCTATATGTTCAGCGTACCCATCGACGCAGGCAGCGTTGTGATGGTGTTTCTGATCACCATGCTGGCCTCTGCCGGTGCGCCAGGCATACCGTCGGGGTCCATGGCAGGTCTGCAGGTTGTACTGCTGGCGGTTGGCATTCCCCTGGAGGCGATCGGTTTGCTGTTACTGATTGAACGACCGCTGGACACCTTCCGCACCGCCGTGAATGTTGAAGGCGATCTGATTGGCGCCATCATTGCGCAACGCTGGAGTTAACCGACGGTGAGCACACGCTTGTTACTGCTACGTCATGGTCTTATCAAAGCCAACAGAGACGGCCGCTGGCACGGCTCTACCGACAGCCCGTTGACCTGGACTGGCAGGCGCCAGGCGAAACGCACCGGGCGTCACCTGTTAGCCAATGAAAAAATCCACGCGGTTTATTCATCTCCCCTGCAACGCTGCATGGACACGGCTAAATTTGCCAGTGCCGGAACTAACCTGACGGTGCAGCCCATCGCGGGGTTAGCCGAAATGTCTATCGGCGAATGGGAAGACACTTCTTTCAAAGAACTCAGTGAACACCACGATTTCATCAATCGTTCAACCACCGACATTCACTACACAGCACCCGGCGGTGAAAGCCTGGCGGTTGTTGCCCAGCGGGTCACTGAAGCGATGCTGCAGATAGACCAGCAACACGAACCAGATGAAACAATACTTGTGGTCAGCCATGGTGTGGCTTTAGCTGTGGCTCTGGCGGTTTTTCTGGAAGCCTCACCGTCACGCTGGATCAACTACCACTTCAACAATTGCAGCCTTTCCGAAATGGTCCTGACTCCAGAACCGGTAGTACATCGGTTCAATGAGTCTGCACATCTCTAGGCTGCCGGGGTAAAGTAAGCAAAACCAACGCCTGGAGGGGACATGACCGAATTCTGCATCGTAGATAAATCCAATCACATAATGACCGTGCGCTTGAATCGACCTGATCGACTGAATGCACTGCATCCACCAGCCAACGCTGAACTCGGCGAAGTATTTGATGATTTTGCTGCGGATAGTGACATGTGGGTGGCGATCATCACTGGCGAGGGCCGCGGTTTCAGCGCGGGTAACGACTTACGCTACCAGGCGGAAGGCGGTGAACGCGTGCCCATGCCGCGCGGTTTTGGCGGCTTAACTTCTCGATTTGATCTGAGCAAACCGGTCATCGCCGCAGTTAACGGTGTCGCCATGGGCGGCGGATTCGAAATTGCGCTGGCATGTGACCTGATCATTGCTTCGGACAAAGCCCGTTTTGCGCTGCCTGAGCCCAAAGTTGGCCTCGCTGCACTGGCCGGCGGCCTGAATCGACTGCCTCGACAGATAGGACCAAAACGTGCCCTGGGCATGATTCTGACCGGTCGCCACGTTGCCGCAGAAGAAGGCGAAAAACTGGGTTTCGTGAATGAAGTTGTGCCTCATGATGAGCTCATGTCGGCTGCGCTACGCTGGGCGAATATGATTACGGAGTGTGCACCGCTGTCGATCCGGGCAAGCAAAGATGTGGTTTATCGAAGTCTCGACAACCCTTCTTTAGAGGCATCCATGAAGGCTAAGTATGATTCGGTACAGAGCATGGTCACCAGTGAAGATTTCATCGAGGGACCAAAAGCGTTTGCTGAGAAACGCCCGCCCAACTGGCAGGGACGTTAGGAATTAACCACCAATGCCTGAGCGGCAACAATGGCATCGGCGACTACGGCAACCGCGAGACAGATATCGTTGAGCGTTTCCGTTTCGCCGCGCTTGGACATTTCAGTCACAATTTCGGTCTGCGGAACGGTCACGTGCAACAGGTCCGGCGTGACTGCAAATTGCCCACTGTAATATCGTGATCGTCCCATTGAGTTATCTCCGCGTCTGCATAAGCTTGTGTATTAAGTCATCGACCTATCTCGTCATGGCTTTAATACAAATTTAGTGCCAGAGGCGTAAATATTTCTAACCGATTGATTTTATTAGATATATTTTTTATTTTTTATGACACCTCCGGCACTGCCCGGGTGTCGCAAAACGTCACAGAAGTGGCAAAAACCGATTAACTGAGTAACTAGGAGTCATAACGTGCTGAAGGTCACACATAAGGATCTGATTGCTGCCGCCCTTGCAGAAGTAGACACCCTCGACATTGACGATGCTGTTGCCCTGCTCGATCAGGAAGACATCGTATTTGTAGATATCCGCGACCCGCGCGAACTGGAACGCGAAGGTAAGGTGCCCGGCGCGGTGCATGCGCCTCGCGGTATGCTGGAATTCTGGGTGGACCCCACCTCACCGTATTACAAAGAGGTTTTCGGCTCGGATGCTAAGTTTGTGTTCTATTGCCAGAGCGGCTGGCGTTCTGCTCTGGCCACCAAGGCTGTTCAGGATATGGGGCTCGAAAACGTCACCCATATCGGTGAAGGCTTTCGCGGCTGGAAAGATGCTGGCGCCCCAACCGAAGATGTCACGCCTCGCGGCTGAGCACGGTTCATGAACGCCCTCATCTATCTGCTCGCTTTTACTGGCGGCTTTGTCATCATGTCGATGGAGTTACTCGGTGGACGTGTCCTTGCACCCTACTTTGGCAGTAGTTCTCACGTTTGGGGCAGCATCATTACTGTCTTCATGTTGTCGCTGTCACTGGGTTATCTGATTGGTGGCCGCTGGTCGGTGAATCAACCCAATCTATTGCGCTATGGCAGCATTTTTTTCTTTGGGGCGCTGTTGATGTATCCCGTTGTGTTGTTCGCAGAACCGACCATGCAATGGATATTTAGCGCGATCGAAGACCCGCGCTACGGTTCTCTGTTAGCGTCGACAATTCTCTTCACGGTACCCACCGTTATCCTCGGCATGATCTCCCCTTACTCCGTTCGCTTGCTTGTCCGAAATGTCGAGAGTTCAGGTCAGGTTGCCGGGCGGTTGTATTTTGTTTCGACCTTAGGTAGCGCGTTAGGCACGCTATTCACATCATTCTATTTTGTCCTGCTTTTTGAAGTGAACAGCATTCTCATGATGTTGACGCTTGCCCTGATCAGCATGTCTATCATTGCAGTTATCTGCCACCGCAAAGGTATGGGAGCACAAAACACGTGAACCGACGTCTTGTCATAATTGCATTAAGCGCATGGATCAGTGGTGTACTTTATGCGCCCGCCTACGCAAAAATTCTTCACGAAGAACGGTCGCTGTACAGCCAGCTGATTGTCAAAAAAATCGGCAACACGATATGTCTGCAATTCAACGTCCGTAGCGACCAGCGAAATCAAAGCTGCATCGATCCAAGACGCCCTAAAGAAATGGTGTTTTCCTATACTCGAATGAGCATGGCCAGCCTGTTATATGTCCAGCAGCCCAGCAACATCCTGGTTATCGGGCTGGGTGGTGGTACCTTGCCAACCGCTTTCCATCAGCTTTACCCCGACGCGCATATTGACACAGTCGAGATAGACCCTGCTGTAGTGAAAGTGGCTGAAGAATTTTTTGGTTTCCGCCCCGCTGATAACCTCAAAGTGTATACAACCGATGCAAGGGTGTGGACGAAACGGGCTCTAACACGCGAGCGGCGTTACGATTTGATTATCCTGGACGCATTTAATGGCGAGTACATACCGGAACACTTAATGACCATGGAATATCTGGAAGAAAACAGACAGTTACTGAGCCCGAAGGGCACGTTGATTGCTAATACTTTTGCGCAGAGCGATCTCTATCATGCGGAATCGGCGACGTACGCCAGCGTCTTCGGTGACTTCATTAACTTCCGAGTTCCCGAAAGCGCTAATCGTGTCATTATCGTGCCAGGCGAGAATTTGTCAGAAGATGATCTGAGCTCACGCGCTGAATTGCTGGCAGCTCCTCTGCGTCCCTATTCAGTACCCATCAAACGTTATGCAAAGATCATTGCTGAGCAAATGGACGACGCACCGGATTGGCGGGCCAGAACACGTGTTCTGACCGACCAGTTTTCTCCTGCGAACTTGTTGAAAGAAAAGTAAGCATCCGCCTTGCGGTAAAATGTCTACTTGCCTGCAGCCGCCCAATACTCGTCTTTCAGTAACCGCTTATACAGTTTACCGGTCGGATGCCGCGGTAACTCCGGCCGAAAATCAATGCTTCGAGGACACTTCACGTGAGACAGATGGTCACGACAGTAGTCCATTAGTTCAATTTCCAGCACGGCGCTGGCTTCGTTCATATCAGCCAGCTGCACCACCGCTTTCACCTCTTCTCCGAAGTCCGGGTTCGGTACCCCAAATACGGCTACGTCGATCACCTTGTCGTGATTGATCAACACGTTCTCCGCTTCCTGCGGATAGATGTTAACGCCGCCAGAAATGATCATGAAATGTTTGCGATCGGTGAGGTACAGATAGCCATCTTCGTCCAGATAGCCTACGTCGCCTAACGTGCTCCAACCTTTTGTGTGTCTCGAATCAGCCGTTTTATCTTTGTCTTTGTAGTACTCAAACTCTCCGCCCCCGGCGAAGTAGATCGTGCCCGATTCTCCTGCAGGGACATCGTTGCCCTCATCGTCACAAACATGAATTTCGCAATTCAGCGGTTTACCTACGGAGCCTTTGTGCGCCAACCACTCTTCAGAGTTCAGTTGTACAAAACCGTTACCTTCAGTACCGGCATAATATTCATAGATCACCGGCCCCCACCATTCAATCATGCGTTCCTTGATAGGGATGGGACAGGGTGCCGCGGCGTGGATGGCGCATTGCAGTGACGAAACGTCATATTTCAACCGCACTTCTTCAGGCAGCTTTAACATGCGTACAAACATGGTCGGCACCCACTGACTGTGGGTGATTTTATAAGTTTCAATACACTCTAACGCGTACTCTGCTTCAAAATGCTGCATGACAACCACCGGTATGCCGTTGCGTAGACACGTCATGGTGAAGCCCAGAGGCGCAGCGTGATAAAGCGGCGCGGGTGACAGGTAAATAGAATCCTGGGTTGCGCCATACAATGCCGTCATCACCGGCAACCCTTCCACGGTGCCGTAGGGTTCTTCCGGGAGCGGCCTTTTGACGCCTTTTGGGTAACCTGTGGTACCCGAGGAATACAACATCGATGCACCTTCGCTCTGGTCAGCAATAGGTGTGGTTGGCTGACTGGCAATTGCCTCTTCAAAAGACTCAAAGCCTGCAATCGTGCCATCGAGCATGTAACGCGCCTGCAGGTCCGGCAAGGCTTCTATCAACGGTTGTGCAACATCTTTGCGCGCCGCCGAAGTAATGAATACTTTTGCTTCGCAGTTGCTGACGATGTACTCCACTTCCGCCGGCTGCAATCGCCAGCTGATGGCTGTGTAATACAAGCCCGCCCGTTGCGCAGCCCAGCAGATCTGGTAAAAACTGACGTGATTTTCAAGCAGCAACGCGATGTGGTCGCCACGCTGCAGACCCAGCGAGCGGAACAGGTGCGCGGCCTGATTGGCTTTGGCTTCTAACTCTGCGTAAGTTACCACTTCGCCAGTTTCAGCAATTATGTAGGCGGTTTTATCCGGTGTCCTGGCGGCTATATCAGCGGGATTCATAAGTACTCCTCTTACTCAGCGTCACTGTCTGCGTCATTTGGATCAAGCTTCAACGATGCTGAATTCATACAGAATCGCAACCCGGTAGGTTCAGGGCCATCTGGAAAGACATGGCCCAGATGGGCATCACACGTGGCACAGTTCACTTCGATACGGCGCATGCCCATACTGACGTCTTCATGGGTGGTAACAACGTCACCATCGATGGGTGCATAAAAACTTGGCCAGCCACTGCCTGAATCGTACTTGGTGGCCGAATCGAACAACGGCGTGTCACAACATCTACAGTTGTACAGCCCGGGAGTTTTAGTGTCGTTATACACACCGGTAAAGGCGCGTTCCGTACCAGCACGTCGAGTTATCTCAAACTCTTCCGGGCTGAGCTCCTGACGCCATTCGTCGTCAGTTTTAACCACTTTAGCCATCTTCTCCTCCTAAACTACACTGCAATTATGGATGTTATGATAGTGTGCGCGTGCGCCCAAAGGAACGGGTGCAGGCGGTAATTATACCCACATCCGGCGGGTAAGCCGGAGCGTTATGGAATTCGATATGAGTTTGGATAAGGTCACCCCCATTACACCCAGCCCAACGCGCTTGATCAGAAAGTCGACCAAGCTGGAAGAGGTCTGCTACGACATACGAGGGCCGGTGCTCAAAGAAGCATCACGCCTTGAGCAGGAAGGTCACAAAGTATTAAAACTCAACATTGGCAACCCGGCGCCATGGGGTTTTGATGCACCGGAAGAGATCCTCCGTGATGTAATCCGCAATATCCCTGCTTCCCAGGGTTACAGCGATTCCAAAGGCATCTATTCTGCCCGCAAAGCGGTCATGCAATACAGCCAGCAGATTGGCATCAAAGATGTCGATATCGAAGATATTTATATCGGCAATGGTGTTTCCGAATTAGTGGTCATGGCCATGCAGGCCCTGGTTAACGATGGCGATGAGATCCTCATTCCTGCGCCGGATTTCCCGTTGTGGAGCGCCGCGGTTAATTTATGTGGCGGCAAGCCGGTTCACTACCTTTGCGATGAAACAGCAGACTGGCAGCCTGATCTTGCTGACATCCGCAGCAAAATAACCTCAAAGACCAAAGCCATGGTGGTGATTAATCCCAACAACCCGACAGGCGCGGTTTACTCGCGTGAAGTGTTGCAGGGTCTGATCAACATCGCCAAAGAGTTTGACCTGGTTGTGATGGCGGACGAAATCTACGACAAAATTGTTTACGACGACGCCGAATATATCGCCATGGCCTCGCTGACAGATGATCTGCTGATGCTGACGCTGTCTGGCCTGTCAAAATCCTACCGGGTAGCCGGTTTTCGAACAGGTTGGCTGATTGTCAGTGGCGCAAAATCTCGTGCTCAGGATTATATCGAGGGTCTCGAGATTCTCTCGTCGATGCGTTTATGCTCAAACGTTCCCACACAACACGCTATACAAACTGCTTTAGGCGGTTTCCAGAGCATCAAGACGTTAACCGCACCCGGTGGACGCCTGTACGAGCAGCGTCTGGTTGCATGGGAAAAACTCAACGAAATCGACGGCATCACCTGTGTGAAACCGAAAGGTGCGCTGTACCTGTTTCCAAAACTTGATGTGAAAAAATTCAACATCAAAGACGATGAGCGGTTCGTTCTTGACCTGCTGCAGCAGGAAAAAGTGCTTGTTGTTCAAGGCAGTGGCTTCAACTGGCCTGAACCAGACCATTTTCGGATTGTCTTTTTACCTTATGAAAAAGATCTTAATGAAGCTATTGGTCGTATCGGGCGGTTCCTGGGCAACTACCGACAATAATGGCCGGCATTCACATTGATGAATTCTATGCTGATGCGGCGCAAATCATTGTCAGCCTCTACGGTGTTTTCCCGCGTCCGGTTACAATTTTTGTAGAAGATATCTGCGGTCCCGACGAGCCGGATGAGTATGGCGTACACAGCCATCGTCACCTGGCCTGTTTTGCAACGCTGCTGTGGCTCGCTGAAGAAGGTTATATCCGCTACAAGGAGACCATTCGACAGGAAGCCATAGACCAGGTTGTCCTGTCAGGCCGCTGTTTTACAGCCTTGTTAACCCCTGCGCCGGAAATTGCGGAAGAAGAAGATTCTGATTTGCCACCCAGCATCAAAGCTGAACACGCAACCGTTATTTATCGCTTGAGCCAGGCGTTAAAAAGCCGGGCTTCGGTAGAAGTACAAGCCGCTTTCACACCCCTGCTACATCGCATGGCTCAAGGCTGATAGCGATAGTCGAGCACTTTCAGACCACGGTCGGAATAAGCTTCCGGGAAGTCAGGGTGAGCGGCAAAGGTTGCCTGGTGTTTGCAGGCTGGCGCCCACCTGGACATCTGGTTCACCAGGAAATCAGCGTTTAAGAACGGTGAATTCAAACAAGCGATTATACGAGCACCCGGAGCCGCAAACTCCGGAATACGTTTCAATATCTGCGCATAGTGCTTTTCTGCAACAAAACTGCCACGTTGATTGGTGGGTGGGTCAATGATGACAACATCATAAGGCCCATACATCCTGATCTTCTTCCACGCCTTAAGCACATTGTGCGCCAGCATTTTCACCTGCCGCATATCCTGCTGGTTGGCCTGATGATTACGTCGACCGATATTCAACATGTTGGCGTTCATGTCGTTGTTGACAACCAGCTGCGCCCCGTGGGCTAGAGCTGAAACTGAAAACGCACAGGTATAAGCGAACAGATTCAGCACTTTTGCATCAGGCATGGATGTCTGCAGCGCTTTGCGCACATGGCCCATATCAAGAAACAGACCCGTATTCTGATTGCGCGTCGGTGCTATCCAGAACGACAGGCCATCTTCTTTTACCAGGTGTTCCCCGGGTACCTGACCGAGGACAACCTCGGTTTGCGTATTACGACCGGAACGATGTTGCACCACAACACCGTCAATAGTGTGGCCGCTGTTAACCAGCACAGCCACCAACTGATCCAAAGCTGACTGATCCACTTCATCATACAAAGCGATATGAATATAAGGTGGGTAATAAGTCACCACAACATGTTCTAAACCTGGGAACGTATGGCCTCGACCATGAAACAGTCGCCTTGCGTTTCCGGAATGATCCAGATTGAGCTTCTCTGCACAGACATCAGCGACCCGTTGTAGGTTATTCAAGTTGATTGGCCAGACGGTAAAGGAGGCAGTCCTGATAGCCGGTGACAATTTCAACCAGGCCACTCAACTGATGATCCAGGAAATGGTCACCCGTATCCAGCAGCAGCGGCCGCTGTTCGAGGCTGGCCAGCTTGGTACGTGTACCTACAATGGTGACATCCTGGGGCCAGTGCAGCTGCTGCAGAAACATTGCAGATATCTGTTGATTGCCACGCCCGAATAAAAATCCCTGGCCGCGAGTGAAACTGACTATCAGGTGTTTCACCGCCAGCGACTGCAAGACATCCGCTCCGACATCCGTCAACCACTGGCCCTCATGGGTATAAACATCCACGCCACGCAGGGTGAGCTGATCAGGTTTATGAGGGGTTTTGCTGAGCGCTTGTTTTATCGCCATACAGGTACTTCCGGGCCCCAGCACCAGATCGCAGTCCACAGGCAATCCGGGCAGCAGTTCTGCCACAACATGAGCCACAATGTCCTCTACAGCCAGAGGCTCACTTTCCTTACCGCCGATTTTAGTCTGCTGCAGGTAGCCACCCGCTTCGGGTACCCGCAACTCCCCGTAAGTACGCAGCCGTATTTCCGTTTCGCCACCCTGATCATCGTAATCACGAACTGTCCGAAGTACGGGTGCTACCAGCCCCCCAGTTACCAGTTGCGCCAGCAGTAGCGCGGCTGTACGCGAGGACACTGCAAACACGCCACTGTGCATTTTCACCCCCGCAGGCACACCCAGCACGGGCACCTTATCGCCAACCGCATGCAGAACATCCCGCGCGGTGCCATCTCCGCCAATAAAAACAAGTAAGTCCACATTGCCGACCAACATCTCTGCGCAGGCGCGCAGATCAGCTGCAGTCGTCTGCTCACCCACAGCACATGGCAATGTTTCGTAGGGCAAGCCAGCCTGGCAAAGCAGCGTTTCACCCAGCGGACCTGGGCCCGTAACCCACATGACCCGTTTATCTTCCGGTAGTGCCGTCTGCAGATGCATCAGGAAATCCGCACACCGTTGTGGTGCCTGAGGAACGCCACCGCGCTGTTTCGCTTGCGCCTGAAGGTCCGCGCCGTCGCTGCCTTTCAATCCAACGCTACCGCCGATGCCTGCAATTGGATTGACCAGTAAACCGACGCGCAAGGCGTTCATTGGACTTGAGATGCGACCTCCTGGGCAATCGCCAGAGAAGCGGTCAAACCCGGAGATTCAATACCCAACAGATTAATCCAGCCTGACACACCATGGGTCCGGGGGCCTTCAATACGAAAATCCTGGAAGCCGCCTTCTGGCGGTGCAATTTTGGGTCTGATGCCGGTATAGCTTGGATGCAGGCGTTGTTCGTCCAGCGTTGGGTAGTAGCTGCGAATGGCCGTGACAAAATCGTCAAAATGACTTTCATCAAAGCTGTAATCCAGCGTATCTATCCAGCGCACATCAGGACCAAACTTTATCTGTCCGGCCAGATCCAGAGTCACGTGCACACCCAGCCCGCCCGTCTGCGCAACCGGGTAGACCAAACGCGAGAAAGGTTGCCGGCCGCTATAAGCGTAGTAGTGGCCTTTGGCGTAATAAGCCCTGGGGGCGTTCGGTGTGCCTGCCGCCAAACCTGGTGCATGCAGTCCGGCACAGTTGATAAACCAGTCTGCCTGCAGCTCAAAATCCGCAGTTATTACCTGCAGGGCCTGTGAGGATGTCTGTTGTTGTGCCGGCGCACGCGGTCTTCGCACTTCAAGGACTGGGGTTTGAAACGCAATCATGCCCCCGCAGCGTTCCAGTTCGCCCTGCAGAGACAACATGTACGCATGGGAATCGATGATCCCGGTTGAAGGGGATAAAACCCCACCAACACAGGCAACTTCTGGTTCAAGCTCTGCCAGCTCAGCCGCAGACAACCAGGACAGATCATCCACGCCATTGGCAGCTGCCTTGTCGATATACCCTTGCACCGTATCTATCTGTGTCTGGTCTGCAGCAACAATGACTTTGCCACACTGCTTGTAAGGCACGTCAAACTGATCGCAGTGGCGGTACAACAGCTGTTTGCCACGCACACAGAGATCCGCTTTACGGGATCCCTGCGGGTAATAGATGCCTGCATGAATGACTTCAGAATTGCGCGAACTGGTTTCACTGCCAATACAATCGTGCTGTTCCAGCACAACAACCTCGCGGCCTGCCCGCGCCAGTTCAGCAGCTACGGCTAAACCGACAACGCCAGCGCCCACCACAACACATTCTACTTTATCCAACGGCAGACCTCCGCGGCGAACAGGCGCGGCGCAGGGCCTGTTCGAACTGGTGGGCACGCTGGTCGCTACTATTGTGCATCCACTGCCTTACCTGACTGCGATGTTCTGCCAACTGCTGGCGGAATTCATTCAAATCAACCCCTATCTGGTCTGCGCTGGGCACAAACTCAAGCCCCGCCGCAGCACAGAACAGCGCCTCAAGACCCTGCACCTTCAACTCTGCGGCAAAAAAGGCCGCCTGTGCCGCAGGCGTTCGGGGTGGCTCTATATAGACATAGCCAAAGTCCACCTGGGTTCTGCGTGCAGAACCTGCCACACACCAGTGGGCCGTTTCATGCAACGCGCTTGCGGCAAAATTTTCTCGATAATATAACCGATGGGTCTCGTGTTCAGCTTCAGCCGGTTGATAAAGCGGTTCAGCCGCACCACCAACCAATTGCGTTGCGTGCGACCGGTGAAAACATCGAGTGAATACAGCCACAATGTCTAAATCAGTCATGCAGCGGATGTCCGTGCAGTTGCTGCAGATAACCCTGGCTTAAGTACACTTCGCCGGCCAGAAGATGCGCCATGTAAGCTCTTGGTGGCCGCAGACCAGCGATTTTCACGGCCGGGTTGGCAAAATAGGTCCATGCCCAGGTTGTATTCTGGCCCTGCCGGATGGCTACAACTTCGCGCCCGTAATTCCACGGGGCGCGCTCAAACGGGTCCATCTTCAATATGTCATCTGGGTGGGCGAGTTCGTACAACACGCCTTCAACAACACTGTGCCGATCGAATTCAATATTCGCATGGCCTACGCCGTTATGGTCCCTGGACATCTTGTTGAACAACAAGCGGAACCCTTTTAGAACACCAGCCTGAGCACCCAGCACAGACAAGCCTCGGTCGGCGACCCGTGCGGGATTCATGTTCGAACCATAAGCAAAATAATGTCTCACTGCCTGTTGCGTCATGAGGCGTTTTTTTTGATCCAGAACTGCAGCACTTCTGTCTCCGTCTGGGCACACATCAGTTCATGGCCCATAAACCGGCAGAAATTCGCAAAATCACGGTGCGTTGACGGGTCCGTTGCTAATATATGCACTATTTCGCCGTCCTGCATTTCGCGAACGCGATTGCGGAGCAGCATAAGCGGTTCCGGGCATAACAACCCTTGCGTGTCGAGTTCGATATGACTGTCCAATTACAGTTCCTGAGCATGTGGCAGCTGTGCATGTTAAGACAGAAGCACACCCATGTGGAGGTCTTTGCACAACCCTTGACAGGTTGCCACAGGCTCACCAGACTCGAACTGAATCGACAGGTTGTGGTCCAAAGGAAAGCCAGACGTAGTCACTTGTGAGATCGCCCGGAAAAACCTATATCAAGATGAACCTGTATCCTTCTAAAGCCTGTCTGCTGGGACTCCTGAGCTGGTCAATGGCCAGCTTCAGCTACGCTGAGCGTGCGCCCGCTTCCTACGTGTCTGACAGTCCTGCGATGCCCGCCCTGATTGAACCAGGCTCCGCTGACGACACCGCTTATGGGTTCCTGAGCCAGCAGATCGCCAGCGGTGAAGCTGATGATGCAGCGGACGTGCTGGAGAATACGGTGAACCAGATCGAAGCTATCCATCATCGCTACCATGAAGATCTGATCGTTCCGTTAACTTTGCTGGGCGACGCCAGAATGGCCCAACAGGATTTTGATGCTGCCTTGGACCTTTACACACGTGCCCGCCATGTGGCACGCGTCAGCCATGGTTTGTTTGATACCCGCCAGCTGGCTGTGGTGTATCGAGAAGCAGACGTTCTGATCGCAGCCGGCGATCTTCAGTCCGCAGCGAAGCGTGAAGAGTATGCCTATGAGGTAATGCGCAAGGCTTATCCGAATTATGACCCAGCGACCCTGCCAGGGCTGATGCGGTTAGGCGATTTCTATTTAAATACGTTTAATTATCTGTCTGCGCGGGCCATTTACAACGCAGCGATGAACGTGCACAGCAGCAACCAGACTGATTTCTCACTCGAAGCGATACCCGCACTTCGTGGTATTGCAATTTCTCATCGCCTGGAACGGTTTCCGCCAATTTATATCGCCAATCCGGATCAAAGTAGTTTAGACGGCCCTACCCCGGGACTACGATCACCAGAATTTGATCGGCAACAAATGGTTTTCAATAATTTCCCTGCAGGCGAAAAAGCCCTGCAACAGATCATTGAGATACACCGGCGCCAGGAACCCGAAAATCGAGCGGAGACCCTCAAAGCCATTATTGAGCTCGCCGACTGGCACCTCATCTTTGGCCGCAGCAATATGGCAAACACACTCTATTCGGATGTGTACAGACAGATGCTGGATTCCGGCGCTGATGCGGCCTCTTTTTTTGCGCAACCAACGCTCATCTATCTGCCAATGCCCGAAAACCCCCGTCCCCCTCCAGCGGATATGCGTGCAGAACCAGCGGACGGCCTGGTTACCCTGTCCTTTGATGTGGCACCAACCGGACGGATACGCAAACTGGTGACCGTCGACAGCCAGCCCGAAAAGCTGATGGACTTCCGGGTCCGGCGCAGTATGAGACTTGCTGTTTTCAGACCGCAGCTGATAGATGGTCTGCCGGTGGTGGCAGAGGCGCAGACTTATACCCACGAATTCCGGTATTTTCCGAAACTGGATCCTACCGCGGCTGTGATTAATCCCGCCTCACCAACGCCAACAGAAGAATCATGAAACGCAACAATCTACTTATCGCTTTTGCATGCAGCGCGGTGGCCCTGGCGGGCTGTGCGCCAATTACACCACTGCCCGGAGGCATGCCAGCACCGATTCCACAACCGCCCTCAGCCGGTGGTGCACCCAGCACCCCCAGTGGCACACCGCCTTCACTACCCGGCGGGTCACCTTCTTTACCAGGCGGTCAGCAAGGCGAGCAATCGGGCAGTGAACCCAGCGGTGAACAGGGCGGCCAACAAGGCGGTCAGCCGTCTTCTGACAGTTCCGGCGGGTTACCTGGCGGCGAAATGCCCGGAGGACAACCCGGCGGCATGCCCGGCAGTACAGATCCCAACAGTTCCCCCGATGGTCAAACTTCGGTACCCACCTGGGACGTTGAACAGGGCGGCGCCCAGGGCGAAGAAGGCTCCGAATCAGGGGGAAGTCCAGGCTCGCCTGGCGGACAAGGCACTGGCGAGGATGGATGGGAAACATCTAACGAGATACCCGGCACGCCAGGCAGCGCAGACGGTGAAAGTGGCGAGGCCGGCAGTGGTCAGGCTGGCGCACCTGGCGAAGAAAACGGCGGAACACCCAGTGGCGATGATGAATTAGACGGAGCGCTGAAAGACTTCGATGGTGAGATTCTCGCTGAGCGTGAAATTATTTCCAGCAGTCAGCCGGGAGATGCGCAAGGTGGTGGTGGCGCATCGACCCTGCCTTCCGGTTCTGAAAGCCAGGGACAGGGCAGTGGTGGCGACGTTGCCAGCACCAGCGGCCCACTGCCACCGCGACGCCAGATTCCCTCGGCACCACCCCCGCCACCCCGCAGCGGCGAATCCGGGCCTGAAAATTTGCCCGACGCCAGGGACGACGACATCATTGCAAGGCAGTTGCGTGAAGCCGCCATGCAGGAAACTGATCCAGAACTTAAAGAGAAGCTCTGGGATGAATATAGAAAGTATAAAAAGGGTTAACGGATCACGACTTCATGAATAAATCCAGGATGTTCCACCTCAGGTCAGTAAACGTTTTGGCGCACCCGCTACTGACGTTGGCGCTGCCTGCCCTGCTACTGCTGGGCGGCTGCGTTAACCATACAACGCGTATTGTTGACATGACGCCTCCTGAACAATCAGAACGCTATCTCGACGAAAATGAATTGTTGGACGTTGGTATCAGCATCTTCGACGCGAACGTGCCTGAAGACTATGACGAACGGATCGAAGAGATCATCCTGCCGGAAGTGCGCCGCGCAGAATCACAATACGTACCCTTTTTCGCCAAAAACCTGCTGCAATCGACGGGCAACTGGGGCGCCGTAAGGGTTGTCCCACGACCAACCCACGCGGTTGACATTATGGTGACCGGCACCATTGTGCATTCCAATGGTGAAAGCATGATCATCGAAGCCACGGTATCCGATGCCACCGGCGAGCAGTGGTTCAGCCGCGAATACTCTGCGCTGGCCAGCAAATACGCTTATGAAGAAGGCATGCCGGAAAGCATTGATGCATTCCAGGCGGTGTATAAAAATCTGGCGGATGACATGTTGGCCTATCGTCAGGGTTTGAGCCCGGCCGACATTGAGCGCATCCGTAAAACCGCCGAGCTGAAATTTGCACGGGAGTTTTCCCAGGAGGCCTTCGCGGACCATGTTGTTAAGAATGAGGACGGACAGTTCGAGATCGTCCGCTTGCCGGCAGAAAACGACCCCATGCTGGAGCGGGTCCGACGCGTACGGGAACGCGAGTATCTGTTTATCGACACCCTGGACGAATACTACTCCAACTTTCATCGACAGATGTACCCTGCCTACCAGGACTGGCGCCGCGCCAGTTACGATCAGGCAATTGCCTACCAGGAACTGAGAGCCCAGGCTCGATCAAGGATGATTGGTGGCACCATGGCGATCATCGGCGGTGTTGCTGCGATGTATGAAAGCAGTGACGCCTACGTCGACGCCAGCGGCATCGTCGGAGTCGTCGCCGGCGCAACGTTGATCACCAGTGCGGTACAGAAGCGACACGAAGCAGAGCAACAGGCTGACCGATTGAGGGAATTGGGCAGCGCTGCTGAAGCTGAGTTGGTCCCCACCACTATTGAACTGGAGAACCAGACGCTACGGTTGCAGGGTAACGTTGACCAGCAATATACAGAGCTGCGCCGTATTCTGAAGCGCGTCTACTTTGAAGACCTTGGCCTTGAGCCACCCCAGGCAAACGATATTCCACAATGACAGTAGAATCTGACGATATTATTGAATCGCGTCAGGCGCCGCTGTCGCATCTGCAGGAAAAGCAGGACAAACATGCCCTGCAGGATGTCCTCGGCTTATTGGACTGGCGGGGTTACACCACCGCCGCCGTCGTCCTTGTGGTGCTGATCGGGGCTTTCTACTGGTTGCCGCAGCGGATTGTCGAACCCAATAATACCCAGGCAGCTACAGCCAGCAGTGTCAGCGACAATGCACCCGTGCCGACAACAGACAACAACGCTTTAGCGCCATTTGCTGACGCGCAACAGGCCCGCGCCAGAGAAAAGGTTCAGCAGGCGTTGGCTGAATTTGTTGAACGTCAAATTCTACTGGAGGACACCATGCAGGTGGATCAGTGGGGGGCGGATGCACTGGATGCGGCCATGATGCAGGCTAAAGAAGGTGATGGATATTTTGTTGACGAAGCGTACGACAGCGCGCTGGCCGCCTATCAACAGGCTGTTATCAGCATTGACGCGGTCATTTCTCAGGGCAACCAGTTGCATCGAGAATTTCTACACAACGGTGATGCTGCCCTGCTCGCGCTGGATCCAACTGCTGCAGAGGACGCTTTCAATCAGGCATTGACCATTAAACCCGACGATGCTGACGCAAAAACCGGACTGGCTCGAGCGCAGGGCTTGCCCGCCATTATCAGCATGCTTCGCAGCGCAAAGAATCATGAGTTGGGCGGCCGCTATGATGAAGCCCTGGCAATCTACAACGACATCGGACGACTTGATCCGCTCACCCCGAATCTGCCTGAGCTTCGCGCAGCAGCCAATGCCGCCAAGACCGGCGATGATGTTGCCTCACACATCAGTCGCGGATTCTCCGCATTACAAAGGCAGCAATTTGAACAGGCGCGCAGCGCCTTCAACGCCGCACTGAGCCTGGACAGCGACAATGCGGTTGCCAGAGGTGGGTTACAACAGGTTGCTGAACAGTACGACCTTGCGGTGATCAGCAAGCATCAGAAGAAAGCTGAACTGGCAATGGCGCAGGAGCAGTGGCTTGAAGCCGTGGATGCTTATCAATCAGTACTAAAACTGGACAAAAACATCCAGTTTGCGAAGCAGGGACTGGCCCAGGCTAAAGCACACGAAAAGGCTCAGCGTCTGATGACCCGGATCGTCAACGAACCTACAAAACTGTCAAACGAGAAGCTGTATCTCGACGCACAGACTATCGCTCAACAGGCACAACAACTTGAGTACGCCGGAGACGAACTGCAACGCCTGCAGCAGGAAGTCAACAAGCTGTTGTCTCTCTACGCAGACCCGGTCGACGTTATATTGCTGTCGGATAATGCAACCAACATTGTCATGTCTAATGTTGGAGAGCTGGGCTTGTTTGAACGCCGAACAATCAGCTTGCGGCCAGGCGCTTACACCATACGAGGCAGTCAGAATGGTTGTCGGGACATATTCCTGACCGTAGAAGTCCTGCCCGGCATAGAGCCTTTGGACGTACGTTGCACTGAAAACATCAATCGATGACCGGCGCCGGATGAGCAAAATCGAAGACCAAAATCCCGCCACACCCGGCCAGCACGAAGAAACCATTGAGCCCCGGGTTTTTGTGCCCAGCGACAGCAAACCCCGGCGAGCTCGCCTGGCACTATGGCAGATTGTGCTGCTCGCGTTCGCTGCCACCGCGGTGGCAATATTCTGGTTTCTTTTCACTTCCAAAAGCGTGTTACTGGATTTTCAACCACAAGCGGCTGAAGTCAGCGTCAGTGGCGGCTTCGCTTTTGAGTTAGGTGGCGTCTATCTTCTGCGCGAGGGTAAGTACGAGATTTCAGCACAAACACCACTTTATGAACCTCTGCAGGAGGCCATCCGTGTAGGATCTGAACGCAATCAGCGTATCGCACTTGAATTTGTACCCCTGCCCGGCTTTCTCACGCTACAACTGAGCCCAGCGGATGCCAGCATAGAAATTAATGGTCAGCCTGAACAGGTGACACCACGCCTCGAACTGGCCGCGGGGCAACACGAAATAACTGTCAGCCACCCCCGCTATATCTCCAACACCTTGACCGTGGTCATGCAGGGCAAACAAATCGAGCAGAGCGAGCGCATTGAGCTTGCGCCAAACTGGGCAGACGTCGCTGTCACAAGTCAACCTGCCGGCGCCAGCATCTGGATCGACAATCAACCTACAGGTCTGCAAACCCCAGCTACTATCGAAGCGCTGGCGGGCGAGCGAGAGGTCAGTATTCGCCTGGAAGGCTACAAAACTCATCGAGAGCGCATCTTTGCCCAGGCTGGTCTTGCACTTTCACTTGCCCCGGTCGATCTTGAGCAGGCGGACGCCGCCGTCACAGTGACGTCACGACCGCAAGGCGCAGGTGTCACCGTGAACGGCCGCTTTATGGGGCAAACTCCGCTGGAGCTCGACTTGAAGTCTGCGCAGCGACATAACCTGCAGATCATTCTCAATGGTTATGCCACCTTTAACCGGAGTTTGCAGCTTAAGCGTGGGGACATTCGCTCGGTGCATGCCGATCTGGTACGCCAGACTGGCGAAATTGTAGTTCGCTCACAACCCGCTGGCGCACTTTTAACCATCAACGGCAAACCTGCGGGCGCGGCAGACCAGGTTCTGACCCTACCGGTTGAACCCCACGATATATCTATATCGTTGGATGGCTATGCCGGCTACAGCACAGAAATTACGCCAAAAGCCGGCCTCGTCCAGGAAGTGAGGGTGCGACTCCTGACACTGGCTGAGGCGCGCCTGGCGGCGTTAACGCCATCAATAACCACGGCTGCCGGCCAGAACCTGAAGCTCTTTGAGCCGTTTGAGTTCCGTATGGGTGCCTCCCGTCGGGAACCCGGCAGGCGCGCCAATGAAACCCTGCGTGACGTCAAGATGACACGCCTGTTCTATCTTGCTACCCAGGAAGTCACCAACGCGCAATTTCGACAGTTCGCCAGCGGCCATGACTCTGGACTTTTCGAAGAGGTCAGCCTTAACGAAGACGACATGCCCGTTGCCTCTGTCAGCTGGAACGATGCCGCCGCTTACTGTAACTGGTTATCAGACAAAGACGGATTGCCGCAGTTTTACAACATGGAATTTGGCAAAGTAACCGGCGTCAATCTGCGCAGTACCGGTTATCGCATGCCAACAGAAGCTGAGTGGTCCTGGGCTGCACGAACCCAGCCTCGTACGAAGCAGGATCCTACCGACGTTTTACGCTTCCCCTGGGGCGACAATCTGCCGCCGCCAGACCGACACGGTAACTACGCTGATCGCGCGGCCTCCGCCCTGGTCGGTCGCGTTATTTTCGGTTACAACGACAACCACACAGCAGCCAGCCCGGTAGGCACCTTCAAATCAAATATCTACGGTCTCTACGATATGGGCGGCAACGTGGCTGAATGGACCAACGATTTCTATGAGATAGCCAGCGCTGACCCGGTCACTGATCCAGCCGGCCCCGCCAGCGGTGAGTATCGAGTCATCAAAGGCGCCAGCTGGATGCACGGCACCATCACAGAGCTACGTTATTCATTTCGTGACTATGGTATTGGCGGCCGCCAGGATTTAGGGTTCAGAATCGCAAGGTACGCAGAATGACAGACGTTATGAGAAGGACTGTGTTGAAGAGCCTGATACTTGTTGCTGTCCTGGCCAGCCAGGCCAGTTTCGCACAGGAACAATCTGAAGCTGACGCCAACGACACTCGGGCACAGACAGAGACCGAAGAAGCAGACACAAAAAACGCGCCCACAGAGCGTTCTGCCGAACAACAGAAAGACAAAGATCGTGATCGGGAAATTTTTCGACCCAGCGAGGAGATTTCAGAAGATTTTGCGGTCTCATTTCCAGTAGATATCTGAAACCCTTATACCCTTGCACGTGTATACAAAATTAAAACAAGACAGCCGACATGAATAAAAAATTACCATTTGAACTTATCTACCAGGTCAGCGCGCTGATCATCGCCGTGATTATTGTGCATCTTGTTTACGTCACCATTATCCGGCCTAACGCAGATGCAATCCTGCAACAGCAGGCGGAACTGGCGGCCAGCGGAGAACCATTTGTTCAGGACCGTTCGCTTTATGTTGTGCTACGGGATTACGAACAGGAGTCCTGTTTTATTCTGATGTTCTGGGCGATGGCGATCATGGGTTTGAAAGCGCGTTCAGCACTTGCGGAACGCAGCCTCCTGAATGAAAACTTTATTCAGGTCAGTGAGGGTGTGAGTATTCTGCCGGAGGACACCAGGGAATATACGCGGCCTTTGCAGGGGTTACCCGAGGCTTCACGAGAGAGCCTGTTGCCGCGTACCCTGCTTGCAGCCCTGCAGCGGTTTTCTTCAACCCGGAACGTGCAGGATGTTTCAGAAGCAGTGAAGTCCGTTTGCGAAGCAGAATCTGACCGACTCGACAGCGAACTGTCGATGGTGCGCTATATCGCCTGGGCGATTCCTTCCATCGGCTTCATTGGCACCGTTCGCGGTATCGGTGAAGCGCTGGGACAGGCCTATCGCGCAGTCGAAGGCGACATCGCCGGCGTCACTACCAGTCTGGGGGTGGCGTTCAACTCAACCTTCATAGCTCTGGTGATCAGCATTGTACTGATGTTCCTGGTGCACCAGTTACAGCTCATCCAGGAGCGCCTGGTCCTCGACACCCATACGTACTGTGATCAGCGCCTGTTGCGCCATCTGCAGGTGAGACGAGGCTAGATGATGTATCTGGATATCAATGACTGGCAACTGACATTCCGTCAGCCACATCAAGCCGCCCGCACCTTTACCGGCGCGGCCGCCCAGACGCCCAACGGGCTGATATTCGACGACGACGCACTGGCGCGATCGCGATCGCATCCGCAGCAGTTCAACAACCGCTACCTCTCTACCATCGCTGCAGATCCTGTGGCCGGTGATCTGGGGTTGGCGAAAAATCATGCGGATCTGATTTATCGACATCTACTACAGCTTGATCTACCGGCAAGCGAGCCGCTTGTACTGGCTGTATCAGGGCAGATCAGCAACGCTCAACTGGGTCTGTTACTCGGCATATGCGCTGAAGCGCAACTGACGGTCAAAGGCTTTATCGACCTTGCTCTGGGCCAGTCTCTGAGTATCCCTGCAGACACCGGCTACCATGTCCTGGATGTTGAACAGCACCGGATAAGCCTGGCAGAAATCCAGATCCGCGACGGCATCCGCGTGCAAACCCGCACCACAGCCATAGATGGCGTTGGCACAGCCAGCATCATAGAAGGCTGGATGAACGTCATAGCTGATGAATTTGTACAGAAAACACGTTTCGATCCACTGCATTCCGGACAGACAGAGCAGCATCTTTTTGACCAGGTGTATCCCTGGCTCACCGAGAGTCAGATGCAGGATCACGTCGTTAGCATCAGTAACGGAGAATCCAGTCGGGAGGTTGAAATAACAGCCGCCAGACTCCTGGAAAAACTCACTCAGCGGCTTGCCGGTGTTGAGTTGGGCCAAGTTGACCATCTGGTGCTGACGCCAAGGGCTGCATCAATACCCGCGCTCAAATCACAGCTGGAGCAGCGCGTACAGCAGTGCAGTGTCGTGTTGGAAAGCGACATTCTGGGTAACTACGAACAACTCGCAGCATCGCTATCCGATGCTCAGGTGAAAAGAATCAGCCAGGCAGCCAATATTGGCACTCGCCGCTCAAACGAATCTGCCGCTGACGCCTTCCAGGAAAACCCTCACACCCAAGCGTTGGCACCCAACACCCTGGCCACCCACTGGCTGCTGCAACATACGGCTTATCCATTGGATCATCCAACCCTGACCGCGGCAGGCGTACACAACGGTTCCGAAGTTGCTGCCGGGACCCAGGTCACTGTTGCCGGCCAGACGTACACTGCGATTCGAGTTACCTAAACTGCCATGGCCCGCTCACGACGGATCAACGTATTCTCACTGTCATTTCTTGATGTCATGTCCTGTGGCTTTGGTGCCGTTGTGCTGATATTTCTGATCATCAACCACGACACACAGACCCAACCCACCGAGCGCAGCGACGATCTTCTGGCCGAAATCCGCATGCTTGATTATCAGGTGCAACAGGGCGAAAAGGATCTGTTTGAACTGATCGAAAGTCTCGACGATGTAAAAGCCCGGGTTGAGCAATCAGATGCAAATCTGGCCAGTACAGCTCAAACCATCGAAACCCAGGAAGCAAGCCTGGAAGAATTAGAAGACGCGTCTGTCGCTCAAACCGAGAGCCTCAAAGCGCTGACCGCGGACATTGAGTCACGCGAAGCGGAGGTCAATCGTCTGTTGGCGCTCAAGGCGGCAAACGATGGTTCTCAGGTACGTTCTTTTGAAGGCGAAGGCGATCGTCAGTACCTGACCGGGTTGAAAGTTGGTGGACGCAACATTGTTATCGCTATCGACACGTCGGCAAGCATGTTAGACGACACCATCGTTAATGTATTACGGCGCCGCAACATGGATGACGCACGCAAACAGGCGGCGCCGAAGTGGCAACGCGCAGTGCGTACCGCCGAATGGCTTGCCGCGCAGCTCCCTCTGGATGCCGACTTTCAGGTTTACACCTTCGCCGAGCAGACACGCTCACTGGTTGCCGACAACGACGATGACTGGCAACCGATGTACGACGGCCAGGCACTGAACGCATCAATTGCAGAGCTACGCACGATTATTCCAAACGGTGGTTCTTCACTGGTTAACCTGATTCTGGAGATCCGCAACCTCTCGCCCATACCGGATAACGTCTACCTGATTACCGATGGCTTACCGACTCAGGGAGAAAATGCACCCCGCTCAGCTACCGTCACAGGACGCCGGCGTCTGGAGCTATTCGGCGAAGCTGTAGATCGTTTGCCAAAACAGATACCGATAAATGTGATCATGTTTCCAATGGAAGGTGATCCGATGGCTTCTGCCGCTTACTGGAATGTTGCGCGGGTCACCGGTGGCGCATTCATTTCACCGTCATGGGATTGGCCATAATGCGTCAACGACGTGGTATCGAAGAATTCAGTGTGTCATTTCTTGACGTCATATGCTGCGGGTTTGGTGCCATCATTCTGCTTTTGATGATCACCAAGACAGTGCAACCTGTATTGCTGGAAAAATCCAACATAAACATGCAGGGGCAGGTCGCGCAGCGCGAAAACGCGCTGTTTGAAATTCGCGGACAGATCACCGAACTGCGACGTCAGGTTAATGATGAACAGGCGGATCTTGCGCAGAAACTGGATCAGCTCGCAGAGCTGCAACAGCAGCTGGCCATTATACTCGGCCAGTTTGATAATCTCTCTGAAGCTCAACAGGAGATATCTACCGAAAACCTGCAGCTGGCTTCAGCCAAACAATCGCTGACAGATGAAATGCAGCGCCTGCTGGGCCTTGATTTCAAACGCGACTCGGGGCTGGTGGGCGGTATCGCCGTCGATTCGGAATACATCATATTTGTCATCGACACCTCGGGCAGTATGCAAAGTGTTGCCTGGCCACAGGTTGTGCGCAAAGTCAGCGAGACACTGGCAATCTATCCCGGCGTGAAAGGTATTCAAGTGATGAATGATATGGGTGACTATATGTTTACCCGCTATGCAGGTCGGTGGATCGAAGATACCCCCGCACTGCGTAACTCTATTATCCAGACTCTGCAAACCTGGGCACCCTTCAGCAACTCGAGTCCGGTTGAGGGGATTACCGCAGCCATCAACACTTACTATGATCCCGACAAGCGTATCAGCATCTATGTATTTGGCGACGACTACACCGGCAATTCCATCGAAGATGTGGTTGAAGCAGTGGATCGGGTTAACCTTACTGATGCAAGCGGCAGACGCCGGGTGCGTATCCACGCGGTGGGTTTTCCGGTATACCTAGACCAACCCAATGCGCGCGTGTATCGATTTGCCGCTCTCATGCGCGAACTGGCTTTCCGCAACGACGGCACATTTGTAGGACTGGCTGAATATCAATGACTGGGCATCTATACAACAGCAAACAGAATAGGCGCTGGCGTCTGAGCAACGTTCGCAGCGGTATAGCCCTGTGCGTCTGTCTGGTTGTTTTCAGTGGTTGTGCTGGCACCAAGCAACTGGCCATCGAAACAACTTTTCCCGTGCCGGTAATCGAAAAAGCACCAGTCAGCCTGGGCATTTTCCTGGATGACACTCTGATCAACTATGCACACGAAGAGACCATTGACCAATCCGGGTCGTGGGAGGTGCAGATCGGACAGGCACAGACGCAGCTTTTCACCAACCTGGCAACAGGCTTGTTTGAAAACTACACTTTCGTTTCCGGCAACACCATTGCCGCGCCCATGGATGGTGTGCTGAAACCCAACATAACCGAAGTGCAGTTTTCCATACCGGCACAAACCCGCTCAGACTATTACGAGGTCTGGGTACGTTACGAATTTGAACTGTATGATCGCCAGGGCAATGTCGTAGGCAGTTGGAAGCTGCCAGCCTATGGCAAAGCCAGCAAAAACAATCATGGTTCATCGTCCAACGGACTGCAGGCTGCGGCTATTGCCGCGTGTCGCGATGCCATGGCATTTTTCAGCATCAACTTTACCCGTGAACCTGCCGTGCAGAAATGGATCGCGGCGGGCAAGCCATCCCTACCCGCTCCTGTCACCACCAATGACAGTCCAGCGGTTGAGCGCGATGCGGAAACCACTGCAACCAGTCAAGAGGGCGACCCGGCATGAAGCCACTACTGAGTATCTGCACAACTTTCATTGCTATTGTCTTGTTAAGCGGCTGTGTTACCTCAACGGTGCAGCAGGTCCGACAGACGCCGACAGCTATGCAGGAAGGTGACTCCATTGTAGTTATTGGCAGACGTAACCGACCCAGCCAGGCTGAAGCCGAACTGGACTTCATCGACTGCGTAGGGCGCAGTGTGAGCAGCGGTAGCAATGGCGTTCAGGTGATCAGCGAGCAGGATTTTATGGATGCCATGTTTCCCTGGTTCGAACCTCGCACAGCACCCATGAACACCACTGACCTGCCGAGTTTGCTGACACAGCCATTACTGGCTGAGCGCGTTCGCGAGATCGGCTTGAAATACCTGGTCTGGCTTGAAGGTTCCACCAAGCGCGTCGCCCAGGGCGGGAGCCTGAGCTGCACGATCACACCCGGCGGCGGCGGTTGTTTTGGTTTCCTGAGCTGGGAGAATGATTCTTCTTACGAAGCATCTATATGGGATACCCATACGGCCAAAACCGCCGGTCGAATCAGTTCAGATGCGGCGGGTACCAGCTACATGCCCGCTATTGTGGTGCCTATACCGCTGATTGCACGGGTTCAGTCATCTGCCTGCTCAAGCCTCGGTGAGCAACTGAAGCTTTTTGTGCAAAATAGCTCTTAAGCTACTGTTTTTTCGGCCTTATATCTAAGACTTCACCTTCATAGCGCTCCGGCTCAATGGCATACCACTCCTGTAGTTTGGCATCGTGTTTCTTCGACATCAGGTCGCAGAATTCGTAAAAAGTAGGCCGCCCAGGGTCGGTAATGACAACGCGTTCAACACCGGCTTTAAATGCCCGGTTAACCAGGCGCCCCAGTGGCTTGACCAGTGAATCCCAGAAACAGATATCACTGCCGACAATGTAACGCTGGCCCGCCAGATCTGCGCTTTTCACCTTGGTGAAGTCCGCCTGCAGGTGTTTTATTTCAACGCCATTCAATTCCGCCAGCACATCCAGAAAGGGAAACACTGCTGAATCCAGATCAACGGCCGTCATTTTTGCTTTGAAATGATGGCCACAGAACACCGATGCCGGGCCCCAGCCACAGCCGATTTCCATAACGGATGCCCCCCGCCGAATGCCATGGTGAGTCAGGTAATCCATCAGAACGAAGCTGGATCCCCAGGTCTTGTGACCATGGATCGACGGTTGATAACGCTTCTTCAGCGCTTTTATCAGATTATGTTTATTATCGAGTAAAAAAATACCGTACGCATAATCAATATGCGGCTCGGGTACCCGCTCCAGTCTGGGCATAAAAGTTCCTCAAATAGGCCAATTATTGGCTCGCTAAAATACCCGACTAATTTACTTGGGTATTACCAAAGGTTAAACTGCGGTCATCTTTTGTAACCCGGCGGCGCATCGCCAGACAACCGGGCTGACATACCAAGAGTTTACGCATCATAGAGGACATAGTGTGAGCCATTCTGTCGACGATTTGGTTGAATCCAACGCTGAATACCAGGCTGGATTTGTTTCCGACATTGAATCAGACACCATTCCACCGGGTTTGGACGAATCTGTGGTGCGTTTCATATCCGCCAAAAAAGGTGAACCCGAATGGCTCACCGAGTGGCGTCTGCAGGCCTACACACACTGGCGCGCCATGACCGCGCCGGAATGGGCCCACGTGCATTTCCCTGCAGTGGATTTTGAGGCCATCTCCTACTACTCGGCACCTAAAGATATGTCTGATGGACCAAAATCTCTGGCAGACGTAGATCCCGAGTTACTGCGGACCTATGAGAAGCTGGGCATTCCGCTACATGAACAGGAAGCATTGGCCGGCGTTATTCAAAGCCGACCCAACGTTGCCGTCGATGCAGTGTTCGACAGCGTTTCCATCGCCACTACTTTCAAAGACAAACTGGCAGAGGCCGGCGTAGTGTTCTGCCCGATATCAGAAGCGGTGCACAGCCACCCGGAACTGGTCAAAAAATACCTTGGCAGCGTCGTACCTCAACGCGACAACTTTTATGCAGCTCTGAACTCAGCGGTCTTCAGTGATGGTTCCTTTGTCTACATTCCAAAAGGTGTGCGCTGTCCGATGGAGCTATCCACCTACTTCCGCATCAACGAACGCAATACGGGACAATTCGAGCGCACCCTGATCATCGCCGACGAGGGCTCTCACGTCAGCTATCTGGAAGGTTGTACCGCACCGATGCGGGACGAAAACCAACTTCACGCTGCGGTTGTTGAACTGGTTGCACTGGGCGATGCGCAGATCAAATATTCCACCGTTCAGAACTGGTATCCCGGCGACGAGAATGGCAAAGGTGGCATCTACAACTTTGTAACCAAACGTGGGCTCTGCGCGGGCGCGCGGTCTAAAATTTCCTGGACCCAGGTCGAAACTGGTTCAGCCATCACCTGGAAATACCCCAGCGTTGTTCTGCGCGGCGATCACAGTGTCGGCGAGTTCTACTCCGTGGCCTTAACCAACAACATGCAACAGGCGGACACCGGCACCAAGATGATCCACATGGGCAAAGACACCCGCAGCACCATCATTTCCAAAGGCATCAGTACCGGCCGCAGCGAGAACACATACCGCGGTCTGGTGAGAATTTCGCCAACGGCGTCCGGCGCACGCAACTTCACTCAGTGCGACTCGCTGTTGATTGGCGACACGTGCGGCGCACACACATTTCCTTATATTGAAAACAGTAACACCCACGCTATTGTTGAACACGAGGCCACCACTTCGAAGGTCAGCGAAGACCAGCTGTTTGCTTGTCAACAACGGGGTATCGATCCGGAAAAAGCAGTGAGCATGATTGTTAACGGCTTCTGTAAAGAAGTATTTAAAGAGCTGCCTATGGAATTTGCCGTCGAGGCGGGCAAATTGCTTGAGGTAAGCCTGGAAGGAGCTGTGGGATGAGCCTGCTGAATGTTAAGAATGTCACCGCCAAAGTAGCGGAACAGAATATCCTCAAAGGCTTGAACCTTGAGGTTAACGCCGGAGAAGTACATGCGATCATGGGCCCCAATGGCTCCGGCAAATCCACTCTGGCAAATATCCTCGCCGGTAAACCAGGCTACGAAATCACGTCAGGGTCCGTCGAGTTTGAAGGACAGGATATCTCCGACTGGGAACCTCATGAACGGGCCCACGCAGGTATCTTTCTTGCCTTTCAGTACCCGGTGGAAATACCCGGTGTGAGCAATATGGAGTTCCTCAAAGCAAGCCTTGATGCCAAAGCGTTTGCCAACAAGCAGGAACAGACCAACGCCGCGCAATTCATCAAGACCGCGCGATCACTGGCCAAATCGCTTGATCTGAACCCAGACTTTTTGAAACGTGGCGTCAATGAAGGGTTTTCCGGCGGCGAAAAAAAGCGCAACGAAATCCTTCAACTCCTGCTGCTGCAACCCAAACTGGCGGTGCTGGATGAAACAGATTCGGGTTTGGACATAGATGCGCTTCAGGTCGTCGCCGAGGGCGTGAACCGCTTTCGCAACGCTGACAACGGCGTAGTGTTGATTACCCACTACCAGCGATTGCTTGATTACATCGTTCCCGATTTTGTGCATGTACTGGCGGACGGCAAGATTGTGCAATCCGGCGACAAGAGCCTGGCACTTGAACTTGAGAAGAAAGGTTACGCATGGCTAACCTAGAACTCGCGCTCACATCACGACCCGCGCCGCCGCGCTGGCTAGGCGAAGATTCAGAACAGTTCCATGACGCGCTCAGCCGCGCGCTGAATTCAAAAACCCACCGCGAGCGTTGGAAGTACACCAAAAGCCAACCCATCCTGGACATGCTGGAAGCACCTGCCGTCACGCCAGACTGGCATACATTACCTGCCGGCGTTGAGCTGCAGGCGCTCAGCCAGGATCTGCAGGATGCGCCACTGCAGCATCAGATCGACGACGCGCCCGAGGCAAGCAGCGCATTGTGCTATCACGACAAGCTGTCGCTTGTAGAAGCCTCCGGCAATCCAACACAACCGTTAGTAATACAACACCGGGGCCACAGCGCGCCTATTGTCTTGAAGGTCGCTGCAAATTCTCATCTCGAACTGCACGAAATCTATTCCGACAATATTGATCAGCATCAAACCCTGTGGATAGAGCTGGGACCTGGCAGCAGCCTGACACATGCAAGAAACAGCTTTGTTCAGGCGAAACACTGGCAGTTCCTGCGCGTAACGCTGGCCAAAGACGCCTCGTATATTCTGCATAATCACAGCTCCGGGGGTGAGATGCGCCGGCAGGATATCCAGATCCTTTGTAATGAACCTGGCGCCAGCGCGCAGGTGACCAGCGCCTCTCAGATCGGCAAGGGCCAACACCTGGATCAACAGATCACGCTTGAACATCGAGCGGCCCATACCAGCAGTCAGCAGGTGTTCCACAACATTGTTGAGGACAAGGCCAAAGTCACCTTTAATGGCCGTATTCATATTCACAAGCACTGCCCCCAGGTTGCTGCCACGCTGCAGAATAGAAACCTTGCACTGGGCGACAACGCCACGATAAATACAAAGCCAGAGCTGGAGATATACACCGACGATGTCACCTGCGCCCACGGCGCAACCGTCGGCCAGCTGGATCCCCAACATGTGTTCTATTGCGCAAGCAGAGGCATACCGCCGTTACAAGCCCGCGCCCTTCTCGCTCAGGCGTTCCTGAATACAGCAACTACAGGGCCTTTGGCTCACGCTGCGCTCGCTGAATTTGGCATTTCCCAACCCGACAACCCCGATGTTTGATATTCGCGCTGATTTTCCTATTCTCAAACGCCAACACCAGGATGAGCCTCTGGTATACCTTGATAGCGCAGCAACAACGCAGAAACCGGATACGGTGATTAACGCGGTGGCCGACTATTATCGACACAGCAATGCCAACGTGCATCGTGCTGCCCACAAACTGGCTGAAGAAGCCACCACACTGCTTGAAGATGCACGCACGCTGGCACAACAGTACATTGGGGCATCAGATCGCCGCGAAGTGATTTTCACCCGTGGTACCACCGAATCCATAAACCTGGTTGCCCAGGGATTGCAGGGATACCTCAGCGAAGGTGATGAAATACTGTTAACCGCACTGGAACATCACTCGAACATTGTGCCCTGGCAGATGCTGGCACAACGCACCGGTGCCAGCTTGAAGATAGTCGCTGTGGACGCAAATGGAGATCTTGACCTGGCCGATTTCTATCAGAAACTGTCCCGCAGGACCAAAGTCTTTACCTGTAACCACATATCAAACGCGTTGGGCACTGTAAATCCAGTTGCAGAGCTGGTCCAAGCTGCCAAAGACGCTGGCGCCATCACACTGATTGATGGTGCCCAGGCCATCCTGCACGAGCAATTGAACGTCACTGCGCTGGATTGCGACTTTTATGCCTTTTCCGGTCACAAAATGTATGCGCCAACAGGTATTGGCATCCTCTACGGTAAACTGGCGCGCCTGGAGGCGTTGCCACCCTACCAGGGGGGCGGCGAGATGATCGAACATGTCACCTTCGAAAGCAGTACTTACCAGCAACCGCCTTACAAGTTTGAAGCCGGAACGCCTAACATTGGCGGCGCTGTTGGTCTCGGTGCGGCCATCAGGTACCTGAATGATCTGCCACTTGCCGAACTGGTTGAACAGGAAAAAATCCTGATCAATTCTGCGCTCAGTCAACTCAGACAGATTCCGGGGTTCAGGCTTATTGGCGAGCCTAAACAACGTAGCGCGGTGATCTCTTTTATTCTGGAAGGCGCACACCCCAACGACATAGGTACATTGCTTGATCAGCAGGGTGTTGCGGTACGCACCGGCCATCACTGCACCATGCCTTTGATGGCGCGCCTGGGAGTGCCTGGCACGGTACGCGCATCTTTCAGTCTGTACAATAACGCTTATGACGTCGAACGGCTTGTTAAAGCGGTAGACAAAGCAACGACATTTATCTAGTTGAGGAAATTGAAATGAGTGAACTTTCAGATATTTCCATTACGCCCGAGGCAAGCGAGCATATCCGGAACCAGCTGCAACTCACCCAGGCGCGATATCTACGCCTGGCAGTTAAAGAAAGCGGCTGTAACGGCTATATGTACATGTTGGATTTTCTTGAGTCCCCAGCGCCAGAAGATAAATGCCTTGATTTCGGCGACGGTGTTCGAGTGTGTGTCAACCAGGCGGATCTGCCTATGGTGGCTGGCACTGAGGTCGACATGATTACCGAAGGTCTGAATTCGGCGCTGGTTTTTAAGAATCCAAATGCTACCAGCTATTGCGGCTGCGGCGAGAGCTTTGCTGTCAGCGCTGATGAAGATATCGATGACTCTGTCGCAGCAGATCTGGATAGTCTGGCAACAGATGTAGGCAAACACTAGCCGTGGAACGCCGAATTGTCACCACAACACGGCCTTGCGAAGCCAGGCTGGTCCCTACCGGCGATTTAATCACTATTCCCGCTGGCGCATTCATCACCCTCACACAGTCTCTGGGCGGCACTTTCACGGTTGTTATCGAAGGTAATATGGCAAGAATTGCCGGCGCTGATGCTGATGCGATCGGGTTGCAACCTGAAGTATTGGAATTTGAAGCGGTCAACCCGGACGGTTCCGTAAATCCGGATCATGTGCGCCAGGCTCTGGAAAGCGTGTTCGACCCGGAGATTCCAGTCAACATTGCTGACCTGGGGCTGATTTACGCCACAAGCATAAATGACGGTGAAGTGAACATCGCTATGACGCTCACGGCTCCAGGTTGCGGCATGGGTCCCGTATTGGTGCAGGAAGTCAAAGATCGCGTCGCCACGGTACCTAACGTTTCCCATGTATCCGTGGAACTCGTATTCGACCCACCATGGTCTCGTGAAATGATGAGCGAAGAAGCGCAGCTGGAACTGGGGGTCTTCTGATTCATGGATGTCGCTGAATTAAAAGAGACCTTTACATTTTTCGACGACTGGGAAGATAAGTACCGGTTTGTTATCGATTTGGGTAAAGAGTTACAGGATATTCCTGATGAGGATAAGCAGGACGGGAACCTCATCCGAGGCTGCCAAAGTCAGGTCTGGTTAACCCATCAAATCACCCCTGACGGCATCCTCAATTTCAAGCTCGACAGCGACGCCTTCATTGTCCGCGGCCTCATCAGCATTGTGCTCACCGCTTTAAACAATAAACGTCCAGAAGAAATTCTGGCGTTTGATATCTACGCGCTGTTCGAGGAACTTGAACTTTTACAGCATCTGTCCCAAACAAGAGGCAACGGCCTGCGCGCTATGATCGCAAGGATCAGGGACATTGCAGAGGATCTCTCTTAGCGGCTTTTCATTCTAATGAATCTGAGCGTTCAACAGCCGGATTTCATCTTTAGACAGTCCCAGGGGGACTGCGATGTCGAGCAAATCTTCACCACTGCCTAATCTACTTTTCGCTTCCTGCAGTATCCAGCGACGCGAAGAAACAGCAGGAGATCGCGCACCGTCTCCATGATGCACAAGCTGGTCAACTGAACGCGCAACGTTAATAGAACTGTCAACAAATACGTCGAGCTGCTTTTGCAGCTGCTGGATCTGCCTGTTTGCCCTCATGCTTTGCATGAACAGCAATAAATAACCGGATGCGCAGACGACACCAATGATCATTAACATGATCCAACTAAACATGTTCATCTATGTGGCCTCCGTCTTCATCGGAATTGTCTTCATCCTTATCCTGTTCAGCCCGTTTGCTGTCTGCATGCTGAGTGACCTGCCCGTCGACCTTATCGCTTTGCGATTCATCGGCAATATCATCTTCACTGCTGCCTTTGCCTTTGCGGACCCGACCACGACGCTGTAACGACGTATAGGTTGGCAGTGTTGTCTGTATGCGATCTATTCCCATGGCTCACCTCGTGGAACTGGAATGACATGAACAGCAATACTTCTCGTATCTAAAAGAATAGTACAGATATACAGATGCGCCAGAAAAACGACACCTGTCATCAATCACTGAGTGGTTTTGTTGACGCTGAAAAGAATCGAGGTAGGAGGATCCGTAATTACACGGTCAATCTGCTATTCATCATCACGAGACAGCAGATCACTTTCGGTACTGAATATTAATCCACCCTCGGGCGTTCTGGTTTTCACAACCCGCGGATCAAGCTCGTTTTGCGGCCCTGAGCGCAGGAATGCAAAAGCCCCACCCTCGGGGTTTGCATTGAGGTTTCGCGAGGCATCTGTGCGTCGAGCAATGACTACGACAACACGCCGGTTGGCGGCCCGCCCATCAGGCGTAGCATTGGTCGCAACCGGGAAGTTTTCGCCATAACCTACGGCGGAAATTCGTTCAGGGCGCACCCCCTGACTGACAAAGAAACGAGCTACTGATGACGCCCGTGCGGATGATATTTCCCAATTGGAAGGATACAACTGAGATTCACTGGGCACGTTGTCAGTAAAGCCTTCTATTGTTAACGGGTTTCGGGTGCTGGAAACCAGCGCGACGGCTGGCTCGAGTAAAGCTGCCGCAACCGGGGTCAGGCTGGTTTGTCCTGGTGCAAACAATACGTTGGCATCCAGGCTGAGCTCGAGCCATTCATTGTTGGAGGCCACTGAGACACCCTCCAGCTGAGCAAAACCACCCAATAAGGATTGCGCCGCGTCAATGGGATCCTCAATAAAAGTATCTCCATCTTCCTGATCAGCAAAAGCTGTACTTTCTGGCAGGTCAACAACATGGGGAGATGCGGCTTTGTCAGGCTCGCCAACCTGAACGGGATCGAGACTGGCGGAATCAACTGCAAAGGTTTCGGACAGAGTTGCGGAAAGTACCCGGTATTTTTCATCGTTTACCGAGGAGATTGCATACATCACAACAAAAAAGGCAAACAACAAAGTAATGAAGTCGGCATAAGACACCATCCAACGATCGGTATCATTTTCCGCTTCAATGTATCGGCGACGCATCAGCTGCCCGCAACAAGTCCACGCAAACGCATTTCCACGCTGCGCGGGTGTTCACCATCAGCAATGGCAATTAACCCTTCAATAAACAGGTCATCTGCTCCCGCATAACGAATAACCTGACTGCGCAGACGATCAGCTATAGGCAGAAACAGCAGGTTTGCAAAGCCGACCCCATAAATTGTTGCCACAAATGCGGTGGCAATACCGGCGCCCAACTCATTAGGGTCAGCGAGGTTACCCAATACCTGAATAAGGCCAATGACGGCACCCAGAATACCTATGGTTGGCGCGTACCCACCCATACTTTTAAATACATTTGCTGCCGCCAGATCAGAATCGGTGCGTGCTTGACTGTCGACCTCCATCAACCGTCTGATCGTATGTGGATCAACACCATCAACAACAAGTTCAAGACCTTTACGGCGGAACGGATCTTTCAGACCTTGGGAAATATTTTCCAGACCTAACAACCCTTCACGTCGGGCGGTTTTGCTCCAGGCAGCCAGACGTTCAATTTCTTTTTCGACATCCAGCGCGGGGGGTTTCAGCACCCATGTAAACATTCTGCTGGCGCGTACCAGACTCAACCACGGCGTTTGCAAAACGACAGCGCCCAGCGTCCCACCCACAACAATGATGAACGCCGGCGCATCCAGGAGCGCCGCAACCTGTCCACCTTCTAAAGCGTTGCCCAGAAAGATTGCAGAAAAGGCCAGAATCACGCCAATAATTGCGACAATATCCATCAGGCTTGCGTCCACTCACCTACTTTGCTGCGTACCCGCAAAGTGGCCTGGCTTAAAATCTGGCTGATACGCGACTCACTGACGCCAAGCACAGCGCCAATTTCTTTCAAATTCAATTCTTCGTCGTAATAAAGCGACATCACCAGACGTTCGCGTTCAGGTAACTCGCCGATGGCAGCAACCAGGTCCTGTATCATTTCATCACGCTCAGCGCCGTGATCACCGACATCCAGATGAGGCAGAGCACTGGGATCGTCGCTCTCATTCAATTCTTCGTAGCTGACAAGACGACAGGTAGAGGCATCTTTTAAAATGTCGTAGTACTCTTCCAACGACACCTGCATACGATCGGCGATGTCACGATCGCTGGCTTCTTTGCCTAGTGCATGCTCAACCTTACGCATAGCCTCGGTCACCCGACGTGCATTGCGATGCACCGAACGCGGCGCCCAATCTCCACGACGCATTTCATCCAGCATAGATCCCCGAATGCGGATACCGGCATAGGTTTCGAAACTGGCGCCTTTCGACGCATCATATTTACCTACCGATTCCAGCAGGCCCAACATGCCCGCCTGCACAAGATCATCAAACTGCACACTGTCTGGTAACCGTGCAACCAGGTGCTGGGCGATGCGCTTGACCAGATAACCATACTTTTTGATTGTCGCATTACGGTGTTCATTGTCCGCATATGCTGCTACTGGATTTGACATACAGAGACTCAATGTAATGCGTATTCGTTAACCAGGCGCTCTACAAAAAATTCCAGGTGCCCTGTCGGCATTGTCGGTATCGGCCAGGAATCAACTTCAAGCGCTAGTTTTCTGAACGCCTGCGCAGACTTGCTGGCAGGATAAAGGTCAAGCACGGCGCGCTGTTTCTGCACCGCTCGACGTAATTGCTCATCCTGAGGAATAGACCCGGCGTGCAACAAGGCTACATCAAGAAAACGATCAGTGACGTGTTGCAACTTGTCATATACGGCGACGCCGTCAGCGTCATTGCGTACCATATTGGCAACGACACGGATCTTGTTGATACCAAACTGCTGATTCAGAATTTTTATCAGCGCGTAAGCGTCTGTAATTGATGTCGGTTCGTTGCATACCACCACAATAATTTCCTGCGCTGCACACAGAAAGCTCAACACATCGTCGGCAATGCCCGCCGCTGTATCGATAATCAATACGTCCATTTTGTGAGCGATATCGCTGAACGCAGAGATCAGCCCCGCATGTTCCCGTGGTCCAAGCTTGACCATTTCCTGCAACCCGGACGCCGCAGGCACAACTTTTAAATCATGGGGTCCATTTATGATGACCTCATGCATTGAACACGTGCCATCAAGGACATCTTTCAACGTATGACGAGGCTTTAAGCCAAGAAGTACATCAATATTGGCAAGCCCCAGATCTGCGTCCAGAAGTGTTGTGCGACGCCCCAGGGCTGACATAGCCAGTCCTAAGTTAACGCTTACGTTAGTTTTGCCCACCCCACCTTTGCCGCCGGTAACGGCAACAACCTGAATTGGGTTGGAAGAGACTTGCTCCATGTCATTTACTCCTGTTTACCTGCTTGCCGGATGTGGCTTTACAGGTTGGCGCGAGGACAAAAACCTTTGCCCCTTTAAGAAACATAGTTGTTCTTTTCAATCGGTCAAATACGTGCCGGTTGCATGCGACGCCTAAACCGCGATCGCAAAACCTTGTGGTTGCGGTGTCGCAAACAGCCATTGTTCAACACTCTGTTCATTTGCCAGCTCCAGGCCATCAGGTAACCCATTGGCGGTGCCCAGCCAGTAGAGCGGCAGACGCAGGTCGTACAACAAACCACCCAAAGCATCACCTTCGATACTCAGGTCTGTTTGTGTCACAGCTACCCCTGCTGGATTTAAACCTGCCACCTGTTGATGCTGAGCGCGCAGGTGCGCCAGACTGTGCAGCGCACTGCAAACCCAGATATCTTTCACCCCACTGATAGCGATCAAGGGGCGCGCTGGTGCTATTGCCGGCGTATCAACGAGTATCAGCGCTTTGTTTTTGAACTTCTGCACGGTGGCCTGCAGTTCTTCAGGCGCACACTCCTGCATGTGCACACCAAATGTCTGGCACGCGAGCTGCAGCGCTTCGGTACCCGCAAGTCGCTCCATATCTGTGGAAATTACAGCTAGCGCCGTGCTCGGGTTCTGCCTCACAAACTGCGCCATCAGCTTTATAACCAGTGAGCTTTTGCCGACGCCACTGGTACCAACAAAGCGATAAACACCCAGCAGCGCGGAACCTGGCTTGTGGGCATAGTGCAGGCGTTGAGCCAGCACGGTTCGAAACTGACCAAGATCTGCACAACCGGGCAAAGCCTGAATCACAGACTCCTCGTACCCAAGTTTTACCAGGTGCTCCACCAGATCGGGATGACAGCCTGGGTTACTTTGTCTTGGAATCAGCGACTCAACAGTCACTGAACTGACCTGACTGGATACAGGCGCTTCCTGTAACTCTATGGGGTCGGGCTTCGGGCTTGCGGGCAATTCAAGACAGGCGTCTACACACACCTGATAGCCTTCCCGGTGCTGCCGCAGGATAAGTGCATCGCCCCCCAACTCCTTACGTACCATCGCAAGTGCCTCACGCAAACTGCCTGCACGAAAAGTGTGCACCTGTTCCCGTGAATTCTGTTCAGTTGTTTCTAACATGATTACCCCTTAACCCGTTCGGCCAATTGTTGACACAACAGTGATCTGTTTGTTTTCTGGTATTTCTTCGTAAGCAAGAACGTGAATCACAGCCTGCGAGACCCGAACAAAACGGGACAGCAAACTTCTGATTGCCGCCGACACCAGCAGTACCGCGGGTTTACCCGCCATTTCCTGTTGTTCGGCTGCGCTCACTACCGATTGCTGCAACCGTTCCGCCATCACCGGCTCGATCACCGGTGCATCGGCACTGCCCTGATTTTTTGCCTGCAACAGCAGTTGTTCCAGCTCCGGATCGAGCGTGATGACTTCTAACGATTGCTCACTTCCGTATATGTTCTGTACGATCATGCGTGAAAGCTGACTACGTACCAGATTAGTCTGATCATCCAGACTCAGGCTGCTGGCGCTACCGTCAGCCAGACACTGTGCAATAGTACGTATGTCTTTCACCGGAATTTTTTCGCGCAGCAGGTTCTGCAATATTTTTAACAATCCCGACAAACTGATCGCTCCAGGCACCAGCTGCTCGGCGAGAGTTGGCGAACCCTGGGCCAGTAAATCAACCAGATGCTGCACTTCATCATGCCCCAGCAGATCTGCTGCGTTATCCAACATGATCTGATTGACATGCGTAGCCACAACAGTACTGGCATCTACAACTGTGTAGCCAAGGGTCTGGGCATTGTCTTTTTCATGTTCTTCTATCCAGTAAGCCGGCAGACCGAAGGCTGGGTCTTTTGTTGCCAGACCACTCAAGGGACCAAACGTTTCGCCCGGGTCGATCGCCAGAAATTTATCTACAAATATCTCTGCCTCCCCAACACTGACACCCATTAAAGAAAACCTGTAACCGTTGGGTAACAGATCAAGGTTGTCTCTGATATGGATCGTTGGCACAAGAAAACCGAGCTCTTGTGAAAGTTTTTTCCTTACACCGCGTATTCGACTCAGCAGCTCACCGCTCTGATTCTTATCAACCAGCGGGATCAGTTTATAACCCACCTCTAAACCCAGCGTATCTACCGGACTGACATCTTCCCAACTGACTTCGGAACGCTCTGGTTGTACGTCTGCCACCTCTTCTTCCACAGCTGTCGCAACAGCAACTGGTTGCAGAGATTTCTGATGAATCCACCATGCAATCGCAGCGGCTGCTATAGCGAGGGTTAAAAACACCCCGTGCGGCATCCCGGGAACAATACCTAACGCAAATAGAATACCGGCAGCAATTGCCAACGCTTTAGGTTCTGCAAAAAGCTGGTTAACCACCTGTAGCCCCATATCCTGAGAGCTGTTTGCGCGTGTCACGATCATTGCTGCCGCCGTAGAGAGCAACAAAGAGGGAAGTTGGGCTACCAGTCCGTCACCAATCGTCAACAGCGTATAAACTTCCAGGGCCTGACTGAAATCCAGATCGTGCTGCACGATGCCGATTGTCAGACCACCAACAATATTTATCAGCAGTATTAGAATGCCGGCTATCGCATCACCTTTGACAAATTTGCTTGCGCCGTCCATCGAGCCGTAGAAATCCGCTTCAGCTGCCACTTCTTCACGGCGTACGCGTGCCTGTTCCTGATCAATTACTCCAGAATTCAAATCCGCATCAATGGCCATCTGTTTGCCTGGCATCGCATCCAGGGTAAATCGAGCACTGACTTCAGAAATGCGGCCGGCGCCCTTTGTCACAACCACAAAATTGATGATCACCAGAATGATGAATACGACAAGACCGACCACGTAATTACCACCAACCAGGACTTCTCCGAAGGATTCAATGACCTTTCCAGCCGCAGATCCGCCACCATGGCCATCAAGCAACACAACCCGGGTAGACGCTACGTTTAATGCCAGTCTTAACAGCGTCGCAACCAGGAGAATGGTTGGAAACGCCGCAAAATCCAGCGGACGCATGACGTAAACACTGACCAGCAGAACAACCAGTGCCAGTGCAATGTTAAAGGTAAAAGACAGGTCCAGTACCGTGGGCGGGACGCGGATCGTCATCAGTGCCAGAACCAGCAACAACAGACAGGGAATAGCGAGAGCGCCTAGTTTAAAATTCCCCATTATTTAAATCTCCACTGCAAATTCATCGGGTACATCAATGTCAGCCAGCTTGGGTGAATAATTGATCTGTCCTCGCTGGTACTGCTCTAACTGATAGATATAGGCAAGCACCTGGGCTACGGCGATATACAAACCTTCCGGGATTTCATCACCTGCTTCGGTATTAAAGTAAATCGCACGTGCCAGAGCAGGTATCGGCACAATAGGCACCTCATGCTTATCCGCAATTTCCCGGATACGAAATGCCATGTGATCTACACCTTTAGCCAACAGTACCGGTGCAGCCATTTCTTTTGCGTTGTACTTAATAGCTACCGAGAAATGCTCGGGGTTGGTGATAACCACATCGGCATCCGGTACATCTTCAAGTGCTTTGCGCCGCGACATCTGCTGCTGCAGCGCACGTATTCTGGCTTTTACTTCAGGTTTGCCTTCCGAGTCTTTATGCTCGTCTTTGACTTCCTGTTTAGTCATCTTGAGTTGCTTCTTGTGATCCGCAACTTGAAAAGGCACGTCCATAACGGCAACAACAACCAGCGCCATCCCAATAAACAGCAGCGCCCAGCCGACATAAACGACGCCTTCTGCAATAGCGACTTCTACCGGCAATCCGCCGAGAACCAACAAATCATCCAGGAAATAAGACAAAACAAGCGTTGCTACGCCAGACACCAGTACAAATTTTGCTAACGATTTAGCCAGCTCCATCAGCGATTTTTTTGAGAACATACGTCCCAGACCTTTTAGCGGACTCATTCGGCTTAACTTTGGCGCAAACGCTTTAGAAGAAAACAATATGCCGCCAACGCCGATGCTGGACAGAACGCCAGCCGCGAACATCACCAGACTGAACGGCAAAATTGCCCACATAGCCTCACCAACGGCATTACTTAGATAAGTGGGCAACGGAATTTCCGGTTGTGCTGCTGAAGTGAATATCACCCGGGTCATGTCCATCATCAGCGCTGCAAGATCAGGCGCGACAAAAATCGCAGCAGCGGCGCCGAATGTCACGATGGCAACGCTGTTCAGTTCACGCGAACGAGCGACCTGCCCTTCCTCTCTGGCTTTCTCCAGTTTCCGGGGGGTTGCGTCTTCTGTCTTTTCCTGACCTTGTTGTTCTTCAGCCATACCTATACCTGCGAGATACCGCTGACGATGTCGAGAAATTCAGTAGCGAGACGATGGAACTGATCAGCCCAGCCGTGCAGTACAAACCAGATAATGACCAACCCGAACAAAAGGCTGAACGGAAAACCGAGAGAAAATACGTTCAACTGCGGGGCGCTGCGATTCATGACGCCAAACGACATGTTTACAATCAGCAGCGAAACAACCGCGGGTATGGCAAGCAGGACACCACCGGCGAACATCCAGCCGCCCAGTTGGGCGATACGCGCGGCAAACTCACCCATACCCAGTTCCATACCGTTCGGATAAAGCTTGAAACCGGCAACAAAAATCTCGAAAAGAATCAGGTGACCATTGAGTACCAGAAAAGACAACGTCACCAACATGAGGAAAAATTGCGACCAGACAGTGACAGATACGCCATTTCCAGGATCTACCATGGCAGCAAATCCAAGCCCCATCTGCATGCCGATAAACTGGCCGGCAATCACAAACAACTGGAAGAAAATAACCGCAGTAAAACCCAGGCCTATGGCCAGCATAATCTGTAAAACCAGATCCACCATGATACCCAGGTTAAGATCAGCAATATCCGGCGCATCACCCATAACTGGCGTCAGAGCAAGACCTACCGCCATACTTAAAGCAATGCGGATCCGCGGCGATACCAGTTGGTTACCAAAGATCGGCACTACCATGAAGAAGCCCGCAACCCGCAGAGTATTGAACAGCAACTCGCTGATAAAGCCGGAGAATTGAGCCATTGAGATCGTCATATCAACCTAACAGGATGGGGATCATTTCGAAGATCCGCTGAAAGTGATCCAACAGTTCTGACAGCACCCAGGGGCCCAGCGCCATAATTGACAGTAACGTCATAAGAAGGCGAGGCAGAAAGCTTAATGTTTGTTCATTAATCTGCGTCGCAGCCTGAAAAACAGAGACGACCAGGCCGACGAACAAGCTTGGCAACACCAGAATAGAAACGATGATGACAATCAGTCCCAGCGCCTCACCAAACACTGAAAGCACATCCCCAATACTCACAACGACATCCCAAAGCTGCCCGCAAGGGTGCCCATGATCATGACCCACCCGTCAACCAACACGAACAACATGATTTTGAACGGCAGGGAGATAATCAATGGCGACAGCATCATCATACCCATGGACATCAGAACACTTGCAACCACCATGTCGATAATCAGGAATGGTATAAACAACATGAAGCCAATCTGAAAAGCAGTCTTCAATTCACTGGTCATGAAAGCAGGCACCAGCACAAAAAAGTTGATGTCTTCAGCGGTATCCACAGGTTCGTGTTCAGACAAGCGCATGAACAGATCCAGATCGTTTTCACGAGTCTGCTCTAACATAAACGCACGAAAAGGTTCCGCTGCAGCCTCAAGTGCCTGTTGAGGAGGTAAGGTTTCGGCAACGTAGGGCTCTATAGCAACTCGATTCACTTCTTCAAACACCGGCGCCATGATGAAAATAGTCATAAACAGCGCGATGCCAACCAATATCTGATTGGAAGGCGTCTGCTGCATGCCGATAGCCTGTCGCAGAATTGCAAATACAATGATAATGCGGGTGAACGCCGTCATCATGATGACCAGAGACGGTAACAGCGTCAGGATGGTCATTACGACAAGGATCTGAATACCCACGCTGTATTTCTGCGTACCGTCGTCTTCTGTGGTGACCGTCAATGCAGGCAGATCCATAACTGCAGCCGCATCCTGCGCGATCAGAATGCCGCAGAGCAGAAGCAACAGTTGCTTGAAACGCATCAGATTCATTACGTCTTGGCCTTGGCTTGATCAAGCGCCGTAGAAAAATCACTACCTGCATCCAACTGCGCTAGCTTGGTAATACACTGCGCATTCATGCCTACCAGAACGTGTTGGTCCGCAATTCGAACCAGTACGAGTTTTTCTTTCGGACCCAGATAGGCTGAATCGACAATTTTCAGTTGGCCTGACTCATGTCCCTTCAACCCCTGAAAGCGGCGGACAACATACCCCAGCAGAAATACCAGGCCGACGATCAGTACAAGCGCAAGAGCCACCTGCCATATGTTCTCCGATGGCGTCATCAGTTGATGCTCTGAATGCGTTGTTCAGGTGAAATGACGTCCAGCAGACGAACACCGAATTTATCGTTAACCACTACAACCTCTCCCTGGGCAACCAGCGTACCGTTTACCAGTACATCCAGAGGTTCTCCTGCCGTGCGGGTCAACTCTACAATTGAGCCTTTGTTCAACTGCAACAGCTTGCGGATACTAATTTTGGTATTGCCAACTTCCATGGAGAGTCGTACCGGAATATCCAGCACTACTTCCAGATTTTTGGCACTGGCTGACCGGGCTTCCAACTCATTGGCAGATGCAGCATCAGTCTCAGTGGTTTGTGTTTCTAGTTCATCAGACATAGCCAGTTCCTATTGATTACCAAACGAGTCGAATTCGAGAGCAAATTTGCCTCTTGAATCACCCAGAGTTGCGTTGAACGTGGGGACGTTTGCCACCCTTACTTCATGCAGATCCTGCATATTCAGATCTAATACATCGCCTGGCTGCAGTCGCATCAGGTCTCGCAGCCGCAGTTGCACATCACCAATGACACAGTTCAGAGGTAGCTCAGCATCCAGAATTGAACGCTCCATACCTGCTCGCCATTGATCGTTGCTTTCTTTGGATTCTTTTTTGCCCGTCGCATCCAGCACGCCTTTATAGGGCTCTAATGCGGCGTACGGAAAAGCAATGTGTAACTCGCCGCCACCTTCTTCTAGCTCAAGGCGAAAACTGCATAACATCAGCACTTCACTACCGGGAATCACGTTAACCAGTCCCGGATTAACTTCATCACCCACAACTTCAGTTTTGATAGGTAACTCGTCCTGCCAGGCACTTTCGAAATCGCGCAGGATAAGATTGACGATGCGTTCAATCACCCGCCTTTCGGTCAAGGTGAACTCTTTACCTTCCAGTGAACTGACAAGGCCGGTGCCGCCAAAAAACAAATCTACAAGACGATGAATGAGTTTTGCGTCCAGGGTTAACAGACAGATCCCCGCAAACGGTTTAATACGCAATAATTTGATGCAGGTCGGCACGTAGAGTGTATCGATATATTCCGAGTACTTGATCACCTGCACGCCACCGAGCCCCACTTCGACGGGGACCTTCAAACTGGCCGGCAGATCATTACGTAACATGCGAGCAAACCGTTCCGCGATCAGCTCCAGTGTTGGCATACGACCACGAACAACTTTGTCCTCGTTAGTCAGGTCGTAATGCGTAATTGTATTGCCACCCTCCTCGCCAAATTCGGTATCCAGCGAGCCATCATCAACACCCGTTAAGAGCGCATCAATTTCTTCTTGAGTGAGAACATCTTTATCAGCCATGGTGCAAACGCTTCCTATTGCAGGACAAAGTTGGTGAACAGAGCACTTTCAATGCCTGGAGAAACGTCATAGGTGGCCAGGACGCGGTTAACCAGTTCCACAATGCCGCGTCGCACAGCCTCTTTGCCTTCCTGCGTCTGCAGTTCAAGGAAATTCTGTTCGGACAGATAACTGACAATTTCACTTCGAATGAGGGGCATGTGCAGGATGACGGCTTCGATCGCCGCTTCGTTGCGCGCCATAATGGTAAATTCAGCCTGCAGATATCGAGGCTTCGAACCGGTGAGATAGTTCACGATGTAAGGCGGACGCATATTATGATAGATCGCCGTTTTCGGCTTGCTGCTGACCGTTTCAACGGGTTCTACCTGAGCTGCTTCTTCACCGCTGCTTAAGAAAAAGACGGTACCGCCAACGCTGGCACCAACGGCAACAACCAGTGCAATGACAAATATGATGACGTTTTTCTTACCGCCACCTTTTGCCGTTTCCTGCTCTACTGCTTCTTCAGCCATGTCAATATCCTGTTACTGAGCACTTTATTAATCGCCAATATCCTGGCGGTCTTTGAAAAGTGTAGTAAGGATTTCGAAATGCGCCCGTTTTTGTGACAAATTTTTGGCGCCCAGGATAGAGCTGCGGGATCTAGACGTAGATGTGGATGCCACCATCATCTCGTCGCTGCACAGTAGTGGCCTCTTCTGCCTGGGCGCCGGGACCTGAAGTTTCTGCTGTCATGCTCTGATGCATTGATTCCCTCGCACCCTGGTCGCTGCTCTGTCGCTCTCCTTGACGGATATCCAGTTGTCCCACATTAACACCGACATCCTGCAGACTCTGGCGCAGGCGTGCGACACTGGCCTCCAGAAGATCGCGAGTACTGGTTTCCCGTGCCATTATGGCCACCTGAACTTCGCCTTTTTCGGTTGAAAATTCGATATCGAGACTACCTAGCTCGTGCGGATTCAGTTGCAGAGTCAGACGTCCCTGGGACAACGCCTGACGAGACATCACACGCAGAATCTGATCTTGTACAGCCGTATCCATCTGTCGCGAACTCACTTCCGGCGCGCCTGGGTTTGGTGTTGCGACCGATTTCTGCAGTAAACTTGTAGACGGATCAAATCTCGCCGGAGTAGCTACAGGTCGGTCTGTGCTTTCCGTGCTGAAGCGCGCATCAAGCGCCGCAATAACTTCACCTTGAAGACGTTTGGTGTCGCTGCCTTGAGCGGTCAGGTGTTGCTCAACGTGGCGTTGCATTAGAGAGGCTGTGTTCACCGGTTGAGATTCAACCCGAGTTTGTACAGGATCTACCTGAACGCGATCAACCGTTGCTGCTTTTGCTTCACCCTGCTGTATCCAGCTGCCTGGCAGGGGCTTCAGAGTAAGGGGGGGGATCTGATTGACACTCTTCGGTGCGCTTGATTCATCCGCTGACTTAACAACGCCTGTCATTGCCTGATCCAGGTTCAGCTTTCCGGGAGCGTCCTTCGACTCAGAAAAGGCGCCACTTGTTAGATCTGTTTTAACATCCGTAATCCCAATTTTTGAAAAGGGTGTTTGTAGATCTGTGGGTAACGCATCAGTTTTACCCCCCGGAAGTTTTGCTGCGTTCTGCACAGAATCATTTGCGCGATCCAGCGAGTAAGAAGATCGCAACTGAGCAAGAGTGTTTGGGCTCGGCAAAGACTCAGTTGGAGCCGACCCAGACATCATCACTTGAGCCACTGGTTTCGTCTCCGCAAGCACCTGGAGCGTAGGATTCACATTCGCCTGTAACGACTCATTTATCCGCACTATAGCTTCTGGCACTGCACTTGTTGGCAGTGGTTGTGTTGATTTACCTGCGCTTTGCGGATCAGAAACAGGACGACTCTGTTGTTGAAGAGCGCTGAGACCGATGATGTCGGATATGTCCAGACCTTGGTTGGTGTCCCGATTTTCATCACCGGACAGCTTTTTATCGATCACCAGATCTTCATTGATACCCTCGCCTGTCAGTGCTGACACGACTAAAGGAGCTTGTTTGCCGCGTTCCGGCAACACATTGCCGACAGTCATTGCCGCTGGCAGTTCTATGTCTTCGTTGGATTTCGCCGGGAGCAGGTCATCTACGAGCTGCTCGGCGTCCGGCAATTCCGGTATGTCCTGTACAGCGCTCTGCTCTAACGCTGTTGAATCAACAAACGACAAAAAATTGACCTGGGCCTGATCGAGCATCTCTGCAAAATGATTCTCCGGCGACAACTTATTGACAGGCAAGCCTGCCGGACCGGCTGAAGACGAATTACCATCACCCGGCATCGAAGTATTTGCTTTGAGGGTTTTTACTGGCGCCGACAGCGCACTTAACAAATCAATAAACAGCGTCGTATCCCAGACTCCAGAGTTCTACTCTTGTTGCAATTAGCGGGCCAAAGGAAGGGGAAAGCGCAATCAATTTGAAAAGAAGGCGCAAGCTAATCAGAGCGATTCAATCAGACCATGTACATCATGCAGCTGAGTAGAGACCTGGGCCAGCAACTCCGGAACACGATCTCCGATACCCGCCTTAGCCTGATCTTCCAATAACGCGCAGGTCTGCTGAAGCTGCTCAGCCCCTACGTTGGCGCAGCTGCCCTTTAACGAGTGGGCCGACAACCGCAGGTTTGCAAAATCACCGCCATCCCAGGCCGACTTAGCGCTGTGGAACTGCTTCTGCGACTCTACAAGGAACGTCTGCATTAAGTCGCCAAACTCATCTTCCATAATGAGTTTCAGCTCGCCCAGCAATTCTTCATTCAAGATCTCATTCATCTTTCACATTCCAGCGCATGGTCACCTCAATCTGGTTGCCGGGTTCAACGTAGTTCACAGTTTCACATAGGTCCCAGAGCAAACGTATACCGCGGCCGTGATATCCACCAACGGTATCCACTGCGTTTCTGGCACGAGCCACAAATGTTTCAAAGTCAAAACCTTTACCACTGTCGGTCACGATGATCTGCAGGTGCACATCGTTATCCACCAGTTCGCCCTCAAAATCGAATCTAACAAAACCTTTGACACTTTCGAGAGCTCGAACCCGGGCGGCGTAATACGCTGCGAAGCCATCTGCCGAGGATTTCATTTCTGATCTTAAACCAAGCACTCCATGTTCCAGCGCGTTTGAATACAGCTCCGCAAGAACCGCATAAATTGCCGTTGCCTTGGTGCGAAGATACGGCGCACCCATCAATACCTGTTGTAACAGGGGCAGAGGATTAAAATCTTTCAGCGATTGTGGTCCCAGCTCATAGGAAAACTTCCAGTCCCTTGGACCACCCAGCGCTTCGACGTCGTCTACCACTTCAGCTGGCTGAACTTTATCTGGGGTGACTACAGTAATTTCAACCATAGTCAGATCGTCATCTCGACCGTCAAAATTCACAAAGCTGTTAACCGCTTGCTGAACGCGATGAAATAAATCATGCGACGCACCCTGGCTGATAATATCTTCGAGGGTATCGCTGCCAAAGTACTCTCCCGCTTCGTTGCGAGACTCTATTACACCATCTGTCGCCAGAAACAGCCTATCGCCCAATTCAACCTCATAAACTAAAGTTGCATCATCAAACTTGTCAGCGCTGCTGATCCCCAGAGGCAGATGATTCGATGCCAGCAGACGTATGTCATTGGAATCAGCTTTTCTCAAGTAGGCAGAGGGCAGCCCGCCATTCCAGACTTCTACTGTTGAACGATTAAAATCGAGCATCAAAGCTGTTGCACAGCAGAAGTAGCCCGGCGGCAAAACCGAACCCAACTTACGATTACATTCTTTGACAATTTGCGACAGCGTAAAACCTTTGGCTGTCATACTGTAAAAAACATCTGCAAGAGGCATTGTGCCAATAGCCGCGGCCAGCCCATGGCCGGTAAAATCTCCAAGCAGGATATAAACGCTGTTAGCCGGGTTCTGCGCAGCAAGCAACACATCTCCGTTAAACATCGCAAGTGGAGACAAGAGGTATTTGATGTAAGGAGTTTCGAGATTCCGCGTGTGTGCAACGTTATCAAATACGGCTTTAGCCGCTTCCTGATCAGCTACCAGCTGCATGTGGTGCCGAGCAATCTCATCACGCTGCAGTTGCACCGTCTGGTTAGTTTCTCGCATCCGCTGCATAGCCTGCAGTTTTGCCTTAAGCACCACGTGATTGTAGGGCTTCGAGAGAAAATCATCTCCGCCCGCTTCAACACACCGAGCAAGATCAGATGCTTCAGTCAAACTGGTCAGGAATATGATGGGTACAAATTCATCAGTTTCATGAGCCTTGATAGCCCTGGCAACTGAGAAACCGTCCCTGCCTGGCATCAATGCATCGAGTAGAACCAGATCGGGTTTATCGGAAAAATACTTGTCAACCGCATCATTACCATCAACCGCTTCAACAACCTCGAACCCGGCACTGCCAACAATTTTGGCCAACAACTTTCGATCGACCGCATTATCGTCTGCAACCAGCACACGATTGCCACTGCCACTTTTCATGGTGTTGGGGCCAATCGCTGCCTCAGGCAATTGTGAAGAGCTGATCAAAATTGGAAATGGTCAGAATCTTTTTGACGTCGGCATTACAGTTAACTATTTCAACATCCGCACTGTCACCACCCGCGTGATCACGCAGGAGCAGCAACATGCCCAGAGCCGAGCTGTCTATATATTGCGCTTCTGTCATATCGATCTGGTAGCTGTTGGGTTTTGCGTCCAGATCTTCATAGGCTTCACGAAAGTCTTTATGAGCGCTGAAATCAAAACGACCATCGATGGCGATGATCAGTTTCTGCAAATTGCTATCGAGCTGGCTTTTAATGCTCATGGAAGGGTTCCAAAAAAATATTTCACGTATAAGAAGCTTAGACCATGGGGTTGGTTTGACCTGGCCTTTGTAGTTTTCTGTCTTTCCGAGCAGCATCAATTTTGTGCGCTGCTTCACGTTGCTCAAGTAATTTTTCCAACGCCCGGCGATCCTGGTGACAGATAACATATTTTTGTACCTGCGCCGATTCCTGCGCCTCCAGACGCTGCACTACACCCTGTTGCGCCTGCACTGCCTGGCTTAACTGATGATAGAACCGCAGAAACTGCTGATACGCAGATGCGCTTGTCTGCGTTTTCTCAAGATGCTGTTGCCGATATTCCAGTTCAAGCCGACCCAGCTCGGACTGTTGTGCTTGCGCCTGCTCGCGCTGTTCGCGACACTGCGCCAGCTTTCCCGCACTACTCTTTTCCAGTTGCACCCGCCACTTCAGAACTTTTTCGAGTTTATCCATTGTTGATCATCGCGAAGTTGTTTACAGGTTCAGCAGCAGCCACAGGTTTCTCAAACAGTTGTTTCAACCTTGCATTCGACTCTTCTATGGACACTGCATCGGCTTCACTCTGCCGCAGAAATGCCACCATCGCATCGTGCCGGGCAATGGCTTCGTCCGTAAGTGGATCACTGCCCGGCCGGTAAGCTCCAATGTTGATCAGATCCTGCTGTTCGCGATAACACTGCCAAAGCGCACGAAAACGTTGTGCGTAACCTTGTTGTTCTACTGACGTCAGACGATTCATGAGACGACTGACAGAACTGCCGATATCAATAGCCGGATATAGACCCTGTTCAGCCAGTGTGCGACTGAGCACTATATGCCCGTCCAGAATTGCACGGGCAGCATCCACGATGGGATCCTGCAGATCATCTTCTTCCATTAACACCGTATAAAACCCGGTGATTGCGCCCGACTCTGCAGTTTCACCGCAGCCCGCGCGTTCAACCAACCTGGGTAACCATGCAAAAGAAGATGGTGTGTACCCTTTACTGGTTGGCGGTTCGCCCATGGCAAGACCAATCTCGCGCTGAGCCTGCGCCACACGGGTTAAACTATCCATCAGCAGCAGCACATTTTTACCCTGATCGCGATAAACCTCTGCTATCTGTGTGGCCAGACGAGCACCGCGAAGCCGCAGTGCTGCCGAATCATCCGCCGGACAGGCGACAACCACCGCACGCTGCAAGCCTGAACCCAGGTTGTCGATCACAAATTCCTGCACTTCTCTGCCACGTTCACCGATCAGCCCTACAACAACTACGTCCGCCTTCACAAACCGAGCCAGCATGCCCATCATGACGCTTTTGCCCACACCACTACCGGCAAATAAACCTAATCGTTGACCAACACCTACACTGAGCATACTGTTAATCGTGCCAACGCCTACATCAAGCTGCGCATCAATGGGCATACGGTGCATCGGGTTTATCGAATGCGCTTCAAATTTGCTTCGCCCACTTGAGAACTCGGGACCACCGTCTATTGGTTCACACAAGCCGTTTACCACCCGACCAAGCAACTGTGCCGGATTTGGCAGCAGATCGACCTGACTGGCCTGATGAGGCACTCTGATTAAAGAACCCGGCTCCACGCCATCGGTTGCAGCTAATGGCATCAAAAAGGCTTTGTTTTCAGAAAAACCGACAACCTCACAAGGAATTTCAGCGTTACCCCGCGCAAGCCAACAGATACTGCCAAGACTGGCATGCAGACCTTGCGCCTCTATCAACAACCCAACAGAACGGCTCACACTGGCATAGCGAGTGGCCGCCAGCAGCTGTTTTCGGTGATTAGAGACGAATGAGCCCAGTTGTCTGAAACTACTCATCACTGTTGTCTTGGCTTTCTGGTGCCTCTTCCTGAAGATCTTTCAAGTCAACACTACGAAGAAGGTCGCGCATATTCTTAACCACATCTAACTCAACAATAGATTGGCCTGCATTAGCCTGGATCACACCAGCTGGCAGCTTTTCATCTGCAACCAGCATCTGCTTTATGTCAGCCGACACGTGTTTAGAAAGGTTGTTGTAATCTGAGGTATTCAAATGAATAAGAAAGTCCTGTTTGCCTTCACACATCTGTTTGGTCTGATCAATCATTGCCTGCAACATGTGTTCGGATGTCTGCAACTCATGATCAAACAGCGCCCGGAAAAGCCCCGACATAACTGCTGCTGCCTCAGCCAGATTTTCGTCCTGTTGTTTTTCCAGAAACCTGCGGCACTCGTCAAGAATCTGATTGAGTTGATCGTGAATGGCCTTGTGTTGCGCTAACGCATCAGTTTCGCCTGCGGTAAAGCCTTTTGCATAACCTTCATCAAAGCCCAGCTGGGCTACGTCAGGAACTTCCGGTTCGGGTTCAATGACCGCGCCACCTCCTACCATCCAGGCCAGAACTTTAGGCGCCTCAAAAGCCGTGAACTTTTTCCACTGATAACCATCAACAGGATGTTCGGGTCCATTTGCCATAGCGCAACTACACCATCTCGTCGCCGCTGCCACCCAGCATAATTTCACCGTCTTCAGCGAGTTTACGGGCGACAAGCAATATTTCTTTCTGCGCGGCTTCAACGTCTGATAAACGCACTGGACCTTTGGCTTCCATATCATCCTGCAGTAATTCTGCAGCCCGCTTTGACATGTTGCCAAATATCTTCTGTTGCAGACTCTGATCAGCACCCTTCAACGCAACCGTTAAACTATCGGTAGTCACCTCCTTGAGCAGTGTCTGTATACCTCGGTCATCCACCATTGAAAGGTTGTCAAACACAAACATAAGTTCGCTGATCGCATCACCCAGATCTTCATCTGCAGCTTTAATAGCCTCTATAACCGCCTCGTTAGTTCCCTTAGCCATATTATTGAGAATGTCAGCGGCTGATTTCCGACCACCTAATTGAGCAAATCGTGTTGGTCCTGTGTGACTGGCTTGTTCATCCAGCACCTGGGCCAGTTCTGCAATGGCGGCAGGTGGAATACTATCCAGATTCGCTACGCGCATGACTATATCTCGACGCATATCCTCATCGCCGATATAACTGATCACCTGAGCTGCCTGGTCGGGCTCCAGGTAAGACATGACAATGGCCTGGATTTGAGGGTGTTCGGCAGCTATAAATTCGGCGATTGCCCGTGGATCCATCCACCTCAGCTTATCCAGACCCGCGGTACTCCCGCCGTTGATTTTTTCAATGACCGCGTTGGCTTTGTTTTCACCGATAGCATTTGTCAGGGTATTTTTAAGATAACGCCCCGCGCCAAGTGTTAAGCCGGACTCATCTGATACGGTTTCCAGGAAATCATCAACCACGCTACCAATCTGATCGGTGCTCACGGATGGCAACCCAGACATTGCTTCGCTGATACGCTGCACTTCCCGCTGATCCAGATGTTTCATTACGGCAGCCGCTTCCGCTTCACCGATGGTTAACAGAAGGATCGCTGCCCTATCCAGTTTGCCGATTTCCAATGCCGCTTCACTCATCTTCATTAACCCAATGTTTGACTACCTGGGCGACCCGGTTTGGGTCTTCCCCAATTAAATTTCTTACTGTTTCCATTTTCTGTGCGGAGGTTTCATCTCCACCAAGATTTATCGGCGAAGGCAGACCCGGCACTGCCTCTGACAATGCAGCCTCCCGGATCTGAGTCATGTCAGCAATTGCCAGACTCTGTTGTTCTCGCACCATTTCACCTGCCTGACTGAGGTTCTTGAACAGAGGACGCAGCAGACCAAATATCACGATAATGATCGCGATGCCGCCCAGAACCTGTTTGATCAATTCAACAAACCAGCTCTCTGCCCAGATAGGTGTATCCAAAGCTGCAATAACAGGCGGACGGTAAAAAGCGCGGTTTACTACGCTAACGCTATCGCCCCGGTCCGCTCGAAAACCTACAGCCGTCTGTACAGCCTGGGTCAGATGCTCAATTTCTTCTGGCGCCCATGGCGTAGAAGTTGCCTCGCCTGTTTCAGGGTCGATAGTCACCTGGTCATCAACCACTACCGTTACGGAAAGACGAGTTACTCGCCCTACCTGATGCTCCGTGTAACTCAGGGTCCTGTCGACTTCATAGTTTCGCGTCGAACGTACGGATGATGAACGTACACTTTCCTGGGTGTCAGCAGCTTCATTCACAGCGCCAAATTCCGGCGGCTGATTCGATAACGTACCGGGCACGCCAGCAGCAATCTGGTTGGCACCCACATTTTGCTCTTCGCTGCGTTGTTCGCTGCGCAGCGCAACCAGATCAGGGTTATAAAGTTCTTCAGATTCCTGAGATCGGGTGAAATCCATAGTCGCGTTGACTTCCGCAGAGAAGCGATCGCCGCCGATCCACGGTGTCAGGATATTCGAAATTTTCGACTGCAAAGCCTGTTCATGCGCACGAACCAATGCCATGTCCTGCTGACTGCGTCGCAAGCTACGGTCTTCAGAACCTTCTGACAATAAAAACCCTGACTGGTCAACTACAACCACATCAGCCGCTGCCAGTTCAGGCACAGCGCCTGCAACCAGATTGGTGATGCCGCGAATCTGCGCACTGTCCAGCGTACGGCCAGGCTTAAGCGTGACCGTTACAGAGGCACTGGGCTTACGTCTATCACGGATAAAGGAACTGGTTTTAGGCGTGGCGAGCAATACCGCAGCACTCTGGACCGAGGTAATGACTTCAATATTTTTTGCTAACTCACCTTCAACAGAACGTCGGTGACGGGCATTCTCCATAAACTGACTGACACCAAACCCCTGCTCTTCATCCAGCAGGGCGTAACCAACCTTGCCGTTACCCAGTAATTCGGCACCAGCCAGCAGCATACGCGCACGATGCAGGTCCTGCGCCTCGATGAGCACCATCCCGTTGTTAGGATCAAGACGATAGTCGATCAGATTGTCTTCTAACGTTTGTGCTATTTCGCTGGTCTGCGCTGCCGAAACCGGCGTACCCAGGGGTTTGTAGGTATCGTCCTGCATCCACTGAGTGGCAAATACACCCAGTGACACACTTGCAGCCAGGGCAATCAGCAAGGTGACCTGACGTACCACCGGCATACCCACCGCGCCACGGATGAAATTGCCACCCGGCAGCCCTGGAGAATCCAGAGCGGTTACAGGTGATTGAACGGGTAACTCGGCCATTGTTTACTCCACAGCCAAAACTAAATAGGCATCTTCATGATGTCTTGATAAGCGGTAACCATGCGATTGCGCACCTGCACCATCGCCTGAAAACCCACACTGGACTTCTGCGAATCAATCATCACCTTCACAAGATTGTTTTCAGCACCGGTGGCAAACGCTGTCTGCGATGCGCTGGATGTTTGCTGAAGTTGATTAACCGTATCTATTGCGCCCTTCAACGCACCACCAAAGTCTGCACGACTCGTGTCTTTTGTCGGGTTTGCACGATCAAGCGCTGCTGGCGTTAGATGATCAATCTGCTTTGATTGATCCCTTATCTGCCGCATCTGTTGCAGAACGGCGTTTATATCAGCGTTCGACGATGTTGCACGAATATCCATAATCACCTCCTAATTCAGTAGACCACGATCACGCAGCGCCTTGAGTTTGTAACGCAGCGTACGTTCAGATATACCCAGTTGTGCCGCCATGTCTTTGCGAACACCTCCACAGGTCTCCATCGTTTCAAGCAGGAGCTGGGTTTGAGACTCCCGCAGCTGATCCTGCAGCGACGTATTTGGCGCTTCTGCCTGGCGTTCATCTGATGCGCCATGGCTATCACCTGATACCTGCTCCAAAGCAAAATCGTCAGGAACCAACACAGCGCCTGTTTTTAGGACCAGCGCACGTTGTATGCTGTTTTCCAGTTCTCTTACGTTACCTGGCCAATCATGTGCAGTTAGCAGTTGTTGGGCCTCAATAGAAAGCGACAGATCCTGATCCGTGGCATATTTGCCGAGAAACGTTTGCACAAGAGGCAGCACATCTTCGCGTCGATCACGCAAAGGTGGGATGTGGAGAGGAAATACGCTCAAACGGTAAAACAAATCTTCCCGCAGGATGCCATCAGCTACTGCCTTACGTAACTCCCGGTTGCTGGTAGCAAGCACACGCACATCAACTTTAGTAGGTTTCGGGCTACCAATGCGTTCAACTTCTTTTTCCTGCAATACTCGCAGGAGCTTGGCTTGCAGAGCGAAAGGCATTTCCGTAATTTCGTCGAGCAATAAAGTACCGCCATCGGCCAATTCAAATTTACCCAGCCGCTTCTCAGCTGCGCCAGTAAACGCACCTTTATCATGACCAAAAAGTACCGCTTCCAGCATCGTTTCGGGTATCGCCGCACAGTTCACGGCCACGAAGGGTCCCTGGGCACGAGGTGACCAGGCATGAATCTGTCGCGCCATGACCTCTTTACCTGTTCCGCTCTCACCCGAGATCATCACTGCTATATCTGCTTGAGCAACGCGTTGAGCCAAACTCATGATGTTCTGCATGGCATCGCTTGCTACCAGGTTACTGGACACCGGCGTTGCAACGCTTTTACCGAATACTTTATGTTCAGTTGCAGCGGGTTTGATCGAGGCGGAAACTTTTTGCGGTCCGGCGCCCAACGGCAGATATTCTGCGGCACCCTGCTGTAGCGTGCGCACCGCGTTCTCCGCTTTGTCTGCACCGCCAAATGCTATTATTCGACTGACATTCAGAATTGACCGCGCACGTGCAACATCCGCAGCTGGAACAAGCGCGATGTCGTTAGATTCATCAACACCACCCTCCAGACTGTCTATCAACTTTGCCGATATACCACTGGCACACAAACCATCGTACAGTCGTGCGGCTTCCTGAGCCTGCTGCCCACAATACACAGGTATCATCAGACGCTGTCTCCAACACGGCCCAGCCCATGTTTGCGCATTTTCTCGACCAATGTGGTGCGACGTATATGCAGTCGATCCGCAGCTCTGGCAACCACCTCATTGGTGTCTTCCAGCGCCTGCTCGATCAAGCTTTTTTCCAAACGTGCCAGATAGTCTTTCAGATCGATGCCGTTGACGGGAAGTAGCACCTCGTTGTCGTCTGGCAAGTTACCAGCCACAGGTAGCGGCGACTTCATCGTCTTGGCAGGTAACGATTCTGTATATTTTTTGGGCAGGTCCTGAGATCTGACCAGGGCGTGGGGATACTGTATTGCCAGGCGCTGTAAAAGGTTAGCCAATTCGCGAACGTTACCTGGCCAATTGTATTGACCCAGGATAGCAAGCGCATCCACCGACAGACGCACATGCAACCCCTGCTCGGTCTGAATACGTCCGGTCAGGGTATTAACCAGTAACGGCAGATCTTCTGCGCGATGACGTAGAGGAGCGAGTTCAATTGGAAAGACGTTTAGGCGGTAATAAAGATCCTCTCTGAAATCCCCGCTTTCGATCAACGCTTCGAGATTTTTGTTAGTTGCTGCAACGATACGCACATCGCTGACACGCGTATTCACGCCGCCTACCCTTTCGAAGCTTTTCTGTTCAATTGCACGCAGCACTTTGACCTGCATAGGAAAAGGCAGGTCGCCAATTTCATCCAGGAAGAGAGTGCCGCCGTGAGCGAGTTCAAACCTGCCGGTCTTCTGAGAAATGGCACCAGTAAAGGCACCCTTTTCATGACCGAACAGTTCACTTTCTAACAACTCAGCCGGAATTGCACCGCAGTTCACTGGTACAAACGGCCCTGATTCGCGTCGCGAACCTGCGTGCAAAGCACGCGCAACCACTTCTTTGCCTGTACCAGATTCACCTGTAACAAGAACAGTCACATCTTTACCTGCAGCCGCAGCCATCTGCGCTCGGGTGTCCACTGCTGCGTCACTAACGCCAACAAAACGACTGAAAACAGAGCCGCTTTCCGGATGTCTGAGATTCTGCGTCAGCAGGCTTTGACATTGTGCCAGAGCGGCCATAATTGAACTCACACGCAAGTCTGCGCAGATACGCGAGCTGCCCGGCGTCGGCTGAGCCTGTAAATAAACATAGACCGGATAATCAGCCGCATGAGTACCATCGCCAAAGACTGCATCCGCCTGCAACGGATCAACGACAACCGGTATTTCTGCAAACTGCAGGAGTGTCTGGACCAATTCTGACTGCGCGGCGTCGGTGATGTCTACACCAACGCAGAACCCTTCTTTCGATTGCTCTTGCATAACCAACGAATCCTTCCTCTACATTTCAGTTAAGCCTGCTGGGCCACAACCAAAAAAGATTTTGCGCCTGCCAAACACATTGGCAGATGCTCTACATGAAGGAAGTAAAGTAAGAGAATTGGAATTGGTCAAATTTCCGACGGTCGCGCTGGCAAAAGCGTCAGAAAACAATCACTTAACAGGCGAGCAAGAACGGTAACGGGGTTAACAGAGCTTCTGGACAGAAGGAAGCCTGCTAGAAAGCACCCTGCTGCATAGCCTGATACGCCTCGGCACCACCCCGTTGTTGCTGGATCCCTCGCAGCTGCCCAAGGTCTGCAGATTGCAGTGCTTTGACACCCAGAGTCAGAGTTTCGATTCGATCACGAATCGACAGTAATTCATCTATGTTATTGCTCACAAGCAACGGAGTCAGTTGTTGCGCCGCAACATTGGCTGCTTCAAGATCACCTGCAGCAACAGCGGCTTCTATTTCTTTTATGCGGTTGAGCGCTAATTCTAAATGGGTCATGGCAGTGCGTGAGCTTATTGCGCACTGGAATTAGGATCGATGGCTTTCCAGGCAGAACGCAGCGTTGCCAGCAGGTCCCCTACTTCAACAAGACCTTCAACGTCGTTGTCGACATTGGCGCGAAATAAACGTCGCTGCATATAATCATAGAGACTCTCAAGGTTCGCCGCGATATCTCCACCTTTCTCATGGTCGAGAGAGGCTTGCAGACCACTGAGAATTTCAACGCAGGCGTTAATCGCTTTCGCTTTTCCCGCCTGATCGTTTCTCAACATATATCCTTGTGCCTGTTTTATCCGGTCTCTCGCACCGCTGAAAAGCATGTCGATAATCTGGTGGGGAGAAGCGGCCTCGACAGAGGTTTCAACGTCTAATTGATGATATTGCTTAACAGGGCTGTTCACGTTGTTATTCCGATTGTGTAGATAGATTAGTTAACGGCCGGACCCTGACTAACTTTAATTCGACTCGCGCGAATATCCAGGCAGGCTCGAAAGTTGCCGATCTAAAAATTGTGACGTGTTGTCCAAGGTAGAAATTAGCGCATCCGCTGCAGCAAACTGAGTACGCAGGCGCGCTTCAAGCAGATCCATACGCTTAGCAAAATCGGTAGCTTCGTCATCAACGGCTTCGACCTGGCCTTCCAGAGAATCAAGCTTATTCGCTAACGAGCCACCAAACGTAATGAACTGATCTAGAAAGGAATCAATCTGATTCATCACACCACGCACCAGCGTAACGGTACCCCTTTCACCCACTGCTTCACCCTGCACCCTCAGCTGTATGCCTGCTGCCGGGTCAGCTGTTTCAGCAGCCGGCCGACCAGCAGTGCCCAGTCCAACCGTTAATCCGAGATCAGAAACTACACCCGCGCTGACGGAGGTGACGTTAACGGTTGATGAAGGACCGGTACTGTCTGAAGAAATTTCGAATCGATTGTTGGCAGCATCATAGGAAACAGTGGCCGTCACCTCTCCAGCGAGTAGCAATGCGTCGGCATTGACCTGGCTCGTCATTTCCGCTGCAAGCTCAGCTGGCGTTGCGTATTCGCCCGGAGATAGAACAATATCGCCTGATTGAAAGCCGTCTATGTTCACACGGAAACTTCCATTGCTGCCATCGATTGTCAACGGACCTGATTCAAAAGATGAGAGCACTGAACCATTATAGGAACCGGACGTTGCAGGTACAGGTCCATTGGGTATCGATAAAAACTGACCAGCGCCGTTACCCTGGATACCATTGACCGTGCCTTCCACATCGGTACCCACGTTGGCCGTGGCATCAACAACAGATAGGCCCAGTTGGGCAACTGTATTTGTATCTACACTATCAATACCGATTGTTGATCTGCTGCCAAAAGAAGTTGAACGAATTTGTAACGCCTGGCTGTCCACGTCATAGCTGACATCAACCGTTGCACCAGCGGCTCTTAACGCGGCATCCTGGTTGATCTGCGTCTGGAGTTCGACAGCAAGTTCAGCACCGTCTGCATAACTGCCCTGAGCCAGCGTAATGGCGCCACTACTCACCCCATCCACGGTAATCGATAAATTGTCATTTTCATCGTCGATGATGATTGCGCTGTCGAGCCCGGCAACACTGACACCGCTTAAAGCTCCCTGAGTAGCTGATTGTTGGATATCTACGATATAGCTGCCTGCCTGGGTGGCAGATTGGAATCCGACAAACGCAATCTGGTTATCCGAACTGCGGCGCTGGTCTGCTAGCAATGCTGAAACATCGGATGGATTGGCTGACAGCGTTTGAGCAAACTGAGTTGAATCAAACTGAAGCTGGAAACCCGCGTTCTGATTGGTAGAAATACCCAGGTCTACCAGAGCGCGCAGTGAATTTGACTCTACCTCCATGACACTGCGTGACATGAAGCGGCGTAACTGCGACATCAGGGTACGTACGGTTGAATCACCCGTTAACAACGCACCGATGCCTTTCTCTTCGTCAAAATCAGTCAGGTCATCGGTCAGCGTTTTAATGGAATTGTACGCATCAACAAAGGCCTGCATCTTTTCGCTGACAGCTTGAGTATCCTGATTAATTGATATTGTTGCGGGCGCCCCGGCGTTGTTGCCAAGCGCCGAAAATGTGACACCGGGAATAACTTCGTTAATCGTATTGGTTTCTCTGGAAACCGTAATACCGTCAATGACGACAATGGCATCGTCAGCATCAACGGTCTGGGTCATATTGGTACCCGGCGTGTTGTTCGCCAGATTGAAATCCAGCGCCGTCAAACCGGCAGGCGTATCTTCAGTTACGGTCAGTTCCATGGATTGGTTTTCACCGGTACGATCAGATGTCAGTACCAGCACAAAACCCTCACCGTCGTTAACAATTGAGGCCACCACACCAAGATCTGCAGCGTTAATCGCGTCTCGAACGCCACTCACGGTGTTGTTAGAACTATCGATGACGATCTGGCCAGAAGCTCGATCAGGGTTTTCAGTGAAATTGTCGTAACTACCGTTCACAAACGCAGTTGCACCAAATCTGACGTCTATAGTGCCACTGCCAATCACGCTGTCTATGGAATCATATCGCCCGGTGGTAAGCGTGTGCGCTCGAGCTGTGGCTAACACTTCAACGGTATGGATGCCTGGCTTAGCCGTCGCACTGGCGCTTGCTGTAATCGCGTTTTCGTTGCTGGAAGTAACGACATTGGTTAACAGCGATGTTGAACTGCCCAAATCGCGGACCGCTGCAGACAGACCATCAATGCCGCTGCGAACAGCGCCGAAAGCAGAAATTTTAGCTTCATACTCTGCGCGCTTAGCATCCAGACGAAGGTCAGTACCTTCCCTTTCAGCAGCGATGATATCTTCGACCAGGTCGGAAGTCAGGAGTCCTGAACCCACACCCAATGATTGTATTGAAGCCATAAGTATAATTAGAACACCCTGACAGGCTTAAAGCCTGTCAGGGATATCTCTAGATCCTCGTATTGATCAAACCCAAACTTGCTTCGACACTGATACCAGCTGTCTGAAGCTGTTCCATCTCTTCGACCCGTTTCATCTCATTGATGGCATTCAAATTCCGTGCCAGCCGCAGGGCGGTCTCGTTAGGAATCTGACGGATCACTTCTTGAGTGGTTCGATCCACTACGCGAACAATTGTGCGATCCAGGTCTTCGTCCAATGAAAACGTAAGATCGCGCTGAAAAGACTGAGCATACTCGTTGAGCTGCTCAACTGCCTTTTCTACACGTGCGGCGCGCTGTTCCGTCACTTTGATCATCTGTTGCGATGTATCAGGTGCTTCCAAGCGCTCAGTCGACGGCAGTTTCTTGCCGCCTTCTGACTCTGACTTTGCCGGTCCTTTGCCTCCGCCAGTGTTAGTAACGATTTTATCCGTCACAACAGCACGCGTATTATCTACGGTGTATATGTTGCTCATTACGGAAACCTCGCTTGCTAGATCAGGATTGGAACGGTTGCTGATTTATTACTCCAACCGTTCCGTTCCTGATTATTAGCTTTTTGCTTACTGAAGCAGTGACAACGCTAACTGAGGCTGAGCGTTGGCCTGCGCCAGAATTGACACACCGGCCTGCTGCAATACCTGAGTACGCGACAGTTCGGCAGTTTCTTTTGCAAAGTCAGCGTCCAGAATCCGTGATCGCGCAGCGGTCAGGTTCTCAACGTTGATAGCCAGGCTGGTAATGGTGGAGTCCAGACGGTTCTGGATAGCACCCAGGTTGGCTCGCTCACGGTTAACACCATCGAGGGCATTATCGAGTGCAGACAACGCTTTCTCAGCGCCTGCAACAGTTGAAATATCCACTTCCGTGAGGAATTGACCGTCACTTGCGCCACCGAAGTTACCCTGCTCAAAACCAACATCTGTGACACCGGAGTCACCATTGGTAGTGCCACCGCTTATTTCGAAGCTGCTGGCAGAATTGAGTGTGACGGTGCTTGTTACACCTTCACCTGCGCCAATACCGTCCACACTTTCGTTCAAACCGACATCTGTTCCCAGACCGGCAGATGCCACCTGCACACTGATGTTTCGTCCATCAGCGGCACTCAGGGTCAACGTTGTACCGTTATCACTGGCCACAACACCTGTACGTCCAGATATTGCGTTGATGGCATCAATAGCGAGTGTACGGTTCGTTTCACCGTCAGTAGTGGTTGTGATAGCCGTTGTTGCTACACCGTTTACGGTGATTGCACCCGTGACGGCGCCCGTCGTCGTCTGCGATGTACCACCTACCAGTACCGTTTCGTTAACCGTGGCGGAAACACCGGACTGGTCACTGACCGCATTGATAGCAGCAGCTACTGCAATACCAGAGGCTGCATTGTCGCTGCTTGACGCGGTGTCGGAGGTTGCCTGTGAGGCACCCACTGATACACCGTTAATAACCAGGTCACCAGCAACCAATGAATTCAGCGTAGCACCCGCTTGCGCAGAACTACTTACACCTGCGGTGGTTCCACCAAAGGTGCCTGCTGTAAGACCCGCATTAGCTACGTTACCCGTCGCAGAGCCGTCGCCGCCACTGATTGTGATGTCAGTGCCATCTTCAGAAATCAATGTGTAGCCACCTTCAAACGTACCTGCAGCAGCAATACCCGTTGAGGCGGAAGTTACCGTAGTGAATGCTACCGTGATGTTACGACCATCAGCGGCCACCAGGTTTACACCACCGTTATCTGAACCAGAGTCAACCGCTGTGACACCTGTTTGGTCACTGGCAGAGTTGATTGCAGTAACAACAGCGGAACGCGTGGTTGCACCGTCTGCTGTGGTACTTAACGCGATAGAAACGCCGTTGATGTCAACTGAACCCGTTGCAGCAGCTGCAGTTATAGCGACACCCGCAGCGACGTTGTCGTTAACTTCAGCGCGAACACCCGTTTCAGAGCTTACACGGTTGATGGTTGCTACTTTCGATATAGCAGACGCATCAGCATTCGCTGAAGATGCAGTGTCGTCAGATGCAGATGATGGGCCAATGGCTACACCATTGATAGACAGGTCACCATTGGCAATTGCGTTAGCATTACCAACAGCACTGATGCCTGCGCCGATACCGCCACCCAGGGTGGAGGTGCTGACTTCAGCAATTGAGAAAGCGACAGTTTCACCTACGTTGGTGCCAATCTGAACGCTTGATTCAAAACTACCGTCAAGCAGTTTACGGCCGTTAAAGTTGGTCTGGTCACTGACGCGTCCCAGTTCAGCAATCAGCTGACTGGCTTCTGCATTCAATGCCTGGCGATCTGAATCACTGTTTGTGGCGTTAGCCGACTGCAGTGCCAGTTCACGTAGACGCTGTAAAGATTCCGTCATGGCGCCAAGGGCACCTTCAGCGGTTTGCGCCAGCGAGATACCGTCATTGGCATTTCGAATGGCGACACCGAGACCACGTACCTGCGCTGTGAAGCGGGTACTGATTGCGAGGCCAGCAGCATCGTCTCTAGCGCTGTTGATACGTAGACCAGACGACAATCGGTTCAAGGCAGATAAGCCCTGCGATTGCGTATTGTCCAGGTTTCGCTGCGCCGTGAGGGAGCTGAGGTTGGTATTAATTACCTGAGGCATTTATTGCTACTCCGTTTGCTTTTTCAGACATCCCTTCCAAGCTTTAGCGAACCATGGAAAGGGGTTCTCACATTACGTAGCGGCATACCCTGGAGAAACTTTAGCGAAGTAGATCACATTTTGACGCGGTTCCTGGCAATAACATGCCAGGCGCAATTTTCTAGAGGCGATTAAAGAGCGACAGATTATTGATACGAACAAAACTCTGTTGCGCAGCTTCCAACACAAACGACTGATAGGCCAGATCGCTGATCGCTTTAGCAAAGTCTAGATCTTCAATGGAAGATCGTACTGTTTGAAGCTGCAAAGAAACATCTTCATGCAGATTTTTAGCGGCCGTTAGCGAATTGAATCGTGCGCCGATATCTGCCCGCGCCTCGAGCATCACATCTGTCGCACCCTCTAAACCGGCAATTGTCGTATCTATGAGATTTCGAAACGCTTCCGGATCGGTCGCTGCATCTACTTCTACCAACCCGTCAGCTATGCCTTTAACCGTTTGGAAAAGACTTTGCTGACGGGTTGTCTCAATAATGAACTGATCACCTTCTACCGGCGTTCCCTGAATAGCAAATGCTACACCCGAAACAGAGAGCTCAACACTGGCATCAAATGGTATATTGACCAGACCTTCTAATGGGCGCTGGTCACTCTGTCTTTTAACGGTGTAGTTGGCTACCCCACCCGCATCTGCAGGGGAATTAAACTCAATCACGACTTTGTCAGGAAACAGCGTCTCCGCGAGGCTACGGTCCACAATCCTTACGTCACTGATACCCGCTGTTTCACTGGACACGCTGGCGACGCCAGCGCCAACCGCATCGATCGGCACCTGCATGAAGAGCTTTTCGCCTGAGTCGTTGATCGCGACAAACTGACCACGATCAATCTGCACCTTACGCTGTCCAGCATCACCCTGATAAACCACTTCGTTGCCATTGGACGAGAAAGGCTCTACCGCACCTTTAAACCCGCTGAAGAGATACTGACCGCTGGAGTTCCGAGAGTTTGCCAGAGACATCAGCTCATCAAATCGCGCACTGATTTCAGCAGCAATGTAAGCGCGGTCCTGTTGGGTTTGTACACCTGAGCCTGCTTGTAGTGTTAACTCCTGAACCCGCTGGATCAGCTCAGTGACTTGAGCAAGGGTAGATTCTTCCAGTGACAGCTGAACGTCGGCGGCGTCAGTATTGCGCACAAATTGATCCCTGGCACCCAGCTCCTGCTTGATGCCGATCACACGGGCTGCACCAACAGGATCATCCCCTGGTCGCACCAGCTTTTTACCTTCACCGATCTGCTGCTGTGTCAGCGCTGTCTGGGCACCCAATGTCTGCAGTTGTTCGGAAGCCTGAGTATGTATTTGAAAGGAAGAAACACGCATAACTAAGCCTAGCTCACCGCGTTAAGAAGAATGTTAAAAATATCTCTGGCAACCGAAATGATCTGCGATGACGCGTTATAGGCCTGCTCATAACGCAACAGGTTGGCCGCCTCTTCATCCAGATTTACACCAGACACAGACTCACGAAAAGCTTCAGATTGGGACAATAAAGCCGTGGCTGCGTCTCTGTTAATACTTGCCTGGTTCGAAGCGATACCAACCTTCTGGACCACAGAGGCAAAAGCACCACCGAATGACCTGCCCGGATCACCCACCAGATTGCGATCGCTCAGGCCGGCCAGCGCCAGAGCATTACGATTATCACCGAGTCCACCGTTGTTGAAGTCAGCATAGAATCGATCACCTGCTTCAACAGTACCGGTTAAAACAAGATCAAAACCCAGATCAGCACGCTGCTGCACGGGGTTTGCGGCAAACAGGCCAGCAAACTGCGTCGACATGGTCACTCCCGGGTCGAGCAATGCCGTTACCTGACCGCCAACGGTCACAGATCTATAAGTGCCTGAAACGCTACCTGAAAGTGCAACAGTGTCATCTTTACTGTTTGTCACCAGCACTGATTCGTTAGGGTCACCCTGAAAATGAACCGATAGATCCGCTCCCCGGGTGTCAGTCAGCGTGAGTGTTTGCCCGTCAGATTTTGCCATGATGCCCGCTGACTGCAGCGATACATCGCTTGCCATCTGATCCGCCAGGTCAGCAAGGCTTTCAAAACCCGTAAAACTGATCCCGTTAACCGCTATCTCGACGGGCACCCCGGAGTCAAAATTCACCAACTGACTGAGCGTGAGTTCTGTCTGAGCGGAGGCATAAACGCCGGGTACACCATTGAGTTGCGCTGCAATCTCAGCAGCGCTTGCACCCGCATTCACCGGCAAATTGGACAGCCGATCTCCTTCACCAGAAATCGTAATCAGCCCCCCGGGGTAGTTATTCCCAGCGGCATCGAGATTAGTTACCAGTTCAGCCACTGCCGGAAGTGATGAAACGTTAGGGCCGGACATCTGCACCACAGTAGTACCTGGATCTACTGGCAGAAGCTGATTCTGGCCACCTGGAACGAACTGAAGAATACCCAGATCAGGCTGCAGCGGCACAGGATTGCCGGGATCGGAATTATCCAGCACCCGATATTGGGTGTCGGACAGAAAATCAATGAGCAGCGGCGGGACCATCTCGCCGTCGTTGGAGAATATGGGATGAGCAGGATCTGTGATACCTGCAACACTGACAAACCCGCTCCCGCCATTTGTAGGGTCTTCCGCTAACTGTACCGGTGAGCCTAACGCAAGGGCTTTGGGGTCATCTAAGACAACCTCCAGCTGACTGCCAAAATCTGCATAAGGCCGCAACAGCATTGCATCACCGGGACGAAAGTCTCCGGCTGTAAACTCTACCCGTAGACCATCAAACTCAACGCTGTGAGGGGTAACAAATGGTGTACCCCGCTGCACAACTTCGCCATCAGAGCGCCTGGTGATGGTATACGCGCCATCACTCGTTTCTGAAAAGCGAACTTCGTAGTCTGATGCCACACTGCCAAAAGGATCTTCTATATACACACTGATCCGACCTGGGTTTGCAGTTGGCCCAAGCGCCCCTGAATTACCCAGATAGGAAACACGTTGGGATACAAGAGCGGGATCATTAACGTCGCGAAAGAACTGCTGACCAAACTGACCATCCAGATCTATACCTGCGGCATGCTGATCGTTGAAAGATCTCGAAATAGCAGCTGCCAGGCGTCCAAGCTCATTCTGAGTCGGCCACAGCACTTCCTCTCGATACTTCAGGATGCCGCCAATTTCTCCACCGTTTATCGAAGCTGTAACGTTCTGGGTAACTTGCGACCCTACTGGACGTAAAGTGATTTCCCCAGCGCTGGACACGCCCATTTCAGCAGCTTCAGATCCAAGGATCAGCGGCTGGCCTTTGCCAACGAAAACATTTATCTGCCCATCATCTTGCTCGACCGTGCTCACTGAAACCAATTTCGAGAGGTCCTTGAGCAGATTTTCGCGCCGATCTAACAGTGCGTTTGAGCCACCCGACGCCGGTCCACTTTGCAGTGCCGATATTCTATCGTTCACCTGTACGATCAATTGGGTTAGCTCATTGACCTGATTGGTATTCGATTCAAGTGAACCGCTGACGTCTCTGGCCTGCAACCAGGCTCGATCAGTTACGCCCTGGAAACGGCTGGCAAGCGCGTCAGCGTTGCTGATAACAAACTGTCTGATGGCAAGATCAGATGGTTCATTGGCGGAATCCTGAACCGCATCGAAGAACTCGCGTATGGCCGAATCAACGCCAAAATCGCCATCAAATAGGGTGGTTTCGAGTTGCCCCACAAATTGCGCATAGCTTTCCATTTCACTTTTCAGCGCTGAATCAGTACGAATCTGTTGATCTACAAAGGTATCTGCGACTCGAACAATCTGATCAAGTCTAGCGCCTGCCCCAGCGTTCAGACCCGATAGGCTGCCACTCTGGGTGACAAGATCAGCACGCTGCCGGGTATAGCCTGGCGTTGAGGCATTGGTAATGTTCTGACCGACCACATTGAGAGCCGCCTGCTGTGCACGCAGACCATTGATGCCGATATCAAACAACGAGGCCATTACCGACCTCCGTTTTCAACGCGGGGTATAAGCGAGGCAATTTTTTCTGCGTAATCAGGATCGGTTGCATATCCCGCTTCCTGTAAGCCGGAGAGATACGCCATCGCGTCCTCTACCTTCTCTACCAGGTGGGCATAGCGCGGTGATTGGGTAATTGTGGACACATAGTCTTTAACGCTCGCAGCCCAATCCGGGTACGCTCGAAAATTGTCCTGTTTATTTACCCAGCGCCCATGCTCAAACTCCCTGCTGTGGATTGCAACGCTGTCTTCGCCTTTAGTGTGATCCTTAATACCAAATAAATTGTGGCTCAACTGTCCTTTGGTATCTGCAATGACCTGTCGTCCCCAGCCTGTCTCCAAAGCGGCCTGACCAAGCACGGCGTCGACAGGCAGGCCACTACCCGCCAGAACGCTTTCTACAATGGGTTTCAGTTTCTGTACAAACTCTTCGGGGGTGGTAAAAGCCGATTTTCTACCGGCTTTTTGAGGTTGATCTGATTGCGCCGCGACCGGCGTAACAGGTGCTGCAGGTGTACTGTCCTGGGGGTTCATCGGCATCGGCTGTCCGCTGAGTTGCGCAACAATAATGGGGGCGAGCCCAATACCACCCTGCTTCGACAGGTGGGATGCCATCTCGTGATCAAGCATCTCCTGATGGGCAGTCATCTCGTTACTGTTCATGAAATTATCTTTGCCGAAGACCTGATTGGCCTCGCGCGCGCTTTTCAACCACATATCAATGAACAGACTCTCGAAGTGCTCAGCAGCTTTCTGCAGCGCAGCGGGGTCATCCTTTTTTAGCGCCCCTGGCAACTTGTTATAGTCGGCATAGCCGAGATTGAGATCCGGTGTTGATATGCTCACTAGATCACCACGAGCTCAGCACGCAGTGCACCCGCCTGGCGCAACGCTTCGAGAATAGCCATCAGGTCACCTGGCGCAGCACCTACCTGGTTAACTGCACTGACAATGTCCTGCAGATTGACGCCAGGTGCGAAATAGAACATCCGGTTTTTGTCTTCGACAATTTCAACTTCTGAATCCGGAACCACTACGGTTTGACCACCGGCAAAGGCATTGGGTTGATAAACCTCATTATCTTCGGCAATCGTCACGCTTAGAGAGCCGTGGGTAACCGCAGCAGGCGCAACCACGACCTTCTGTCCAATAACGATGGTTCCGGTGCGGGAATTGATCACCACTTTGGCAGAGGTGGCGTCCGGCTCTACTTCCAGGTTTTCAAGAACTGACAGGAACGACACCCGTTGGGTGGAATTCTTGGGTGAACGCACCTTAATGGACGCCGCATCAATAGTTTGTGCAACTTCGGGCCCGAAAGTATCGTTGATCTTCTCTGCCACTCTACGCGCGGTTGTAAAATCGGCGCGATGCAGATTAAACACGATATTTTCAGCGCCGCTGAAACCGTCTGGCGCTGGACGCTCAATCAGAGCACCACCGGGAATGCGACCCACACTGGGTACGTTTACGGTTACTGACGAACCATCGTTACCCTGGGCACCAAAGCCGCCAACAACGAGACTGCCTTGAGCCACCGCGTAAACTGTCTTGTTCAAGCCTTTTAACGGCGTCACCAACAACGTACCACCGCGCAAACTCTTTGCATTACCAACAGAGGAGACAGTGACATCAAGGGTCTGTCCTGGTTTTGCAAAAGGCGATAGTTCCGCATGTACGGCAACAGCAGCCACGTTCTTTAATTGAAAATTCGAACCCGGAGGTAATTGAATACCCAGTTGCTGCAACATGTTCTTAAATGTCTGCACGGTAAATGGCGTCTGACTGGTTTGATCTCCACTGCCATCCAGGCCTACGACCAACCCATAGCCAACAAGCTGGTTAGCACGAACACCAGAAACATCAGCCAGGTCTTTAATGCGCTGGGTTGTAGCCTCAACAGGCAGACTGAACAACATCAGTGCAACGATCGGAACCATAGTTCGTTTCATATCAATACTCTTTAAAACGGATTTACCGTGCCAACAAAGAATCGTGTCAGCCAGCCGGCACGATTAGATTGCGCGATCTCGCCAGTGCCGCTGTAGGCAATACGTGCATCAGCCAGGCGTTGTGAAGAAACAGAGTTATCAGCGCTGATGTCTTCCGGACGAACAAGACCACTCACACGAACATATTCTTCCCCGCGATTGAGCTGAAACCACTTCTCACCCTGCACCAGTAACAACCCATTAGGCAGTTGTTTTGCCACCACGGCGGTAATTGTTCCGGTCAGAGAATTGCTTTGATCGCTCTCCCCTTCACCACTGAACTCTGTTTCGGAATCTAACGAACCGAAGATATCGTCAGCGCCCGTTCCTCTGATCACGCTGCCAAATATTTTTGGATTGAGAAGTTCATTACTGCTTTCTTTGCGTATAGAGGTTTCCGCACTTTTACTCGAACGGGTCTGTTCATCGAGAATGATTGTGACGACATCTCCAACAAATCCGGCGCGGCGATCATCAAACAAAGCGAGGTTTGGCCCATCGGTGAACAGAGATCCAGCGTTCACCGCTTGCGGCTGTGGCATATCTGGCCAGACAGGTTGGTAAACGGGCTCAGACCGACTGGGCTCCGGTGTTACACAACCGGTTAAAGCAAACAAAACAAAACAAGCTGACAGTAAGCTTTTCATATAGCCCCTTAAATATTCTGCGAAAGATACTGCAGCATTTGATCCGCTGTGGAGACCACACGGGCATTCATCTCGTAGGCACGCTGGGTCGCCACCATATTGACCATTTCTTCGACTACAGACACATTTGAAGCTTCCAACATGCCTTGTGCAACCTGACCAATACCATTCTGGCCAGGCGTGCCCTGTAAGGCAGCACCACTGGCAACAGTTTCGCGATAAAGATTTCCACCAAGCGATTCAAGGCCTGTTGGATTGATAAAATCTACCAGCTGCAGGTTACCCACCTGAGTGGTGCCTGTGTCACCGCCGACAAGCACACTAACGGTGCCATCTTCACCGATGGTTACACTTGTTGCGCCTTGGGGAACATTGATAGCCGGCTCTAATGCATAGCCTTGAGCAGTAACCATCTGACCATCCTGATCAAGCGTGAAACTACCCGTACGCGTATAGCCTAAAGAACCATCCGGCATGGAGATCTGGAAGAAACCTCGGCCTTCGATAGCAAGATCCAACGACCGTTCCGTATTCTGTAAAGCACCCATTGTGAACTGCTTCTGCGTGCCTGCGATACGTACGCCGGTTCCGAGCTGAACACCTGAAGGCAAAGTTGCATCCTGGGTGGCCTGGCCACCGGGCTGTTGATTAATCTGATAAACAAGATCTTCAAAAACCGCACGGTCTTTCTTGAAGCCGACTGTCCCAACGTTGGCCAGGTTGTTGGAGATTGTGCGCAAAGCCGTATCCTGTGCGCTCAAACCCGTCTTGCTGACCCATAATGCAGAATTCATGGTAATTATCCCTTCTGTTCTAAGCTTGTGCGTGTCGGCTTCAACATCAACCGACTCGCAGTAATTGTGCTGCAGCACTGTCATTGTCTTCTGCAACTTTCATCATCCGGACTTCCAGCTCGAACTGTCTTGCCAGAGCAAGAATTTCAGTCAGCTCATTAACCGCATTGACATTCGATGACTCCAGAAAACCAGAGGTGACAGAAACACCTGGATCCCTGACTAAGGGTAGTTCGTCATTGGTAACCAGCAAGCCTGCCCCGTTTTTTCGCAGATTCTCAGGTGCAGTGCTGACCAGTTTGAGCTGGTCAATCTGCACCAGAGCATCAGGTCCCTGGCCCTGGGGCCGGATTGTGACGGTGCCGTCATTACCAAACACAATGGTTTCGTAAGGTGGCAACGCTATCGGGCCACCTGTGCCGAGCACCGGTAACCCTTGCTGGGTAAGCAGTCGCCCGGCAGCATCAACCTGAAAGGCACCATTACGTGAATACGCTTCGTTGCCATCAGGACCAATGACGGAAAACAAGCCGTCACCATTAATAGACAGATCGAGATCACGCCCGGTTTCTATCGCTGAACCCGGACTCAAATCTACGCCTTGCGCTTCGTTTACACCGTACACCCGGGCACGGTAGCCCTGCCCGTCAACTTCACTTGCCATGACATGAGCAAGATCTGCACGAAAGCCATTGGTCGAAACATTTGCCAGATTGTTAGCTCGCGCTGTCTGGGCTTGCTCAATATTGCCAAGCCCGACAGCACTAACGTATAACAAGCGATCCATCAGATATTAATGATGGTTTGAGTGATTTCGTCTGCAGTCGAAATTGTCCTGGAGTTAGCCTGGAAATTTCGTTGCGCGATAATCAACTGCACCAACTGTTCCGATAATTCAACGTTCGAGTCTTCCAACGCACCTGACGTCACACTACCTAACGAGCCTGACCCCGGCGCGGCAACCACCGGCGGTCCTGACTGATTGGTTTCAATCCAGGATGTATCACCCACCGAGGTAAGACCCTGAGTATTGGTGAAATCTGCGATGGCGATCTGACCCAGGGTTGAGTTCTGCCCGTTGGTAAAACGTGCAACAACAACACCTGAATCATCAATTGCAAGACCAGACAATTTACCAGTAGCAAAACCATTTTGTTCTATGGAGCCCAGAGCAAAGTCCTGTCCAAACTGGGTAGAGTCTGTCAAACGAAGTTCAAAATTCGAACTGCCTGGTGGTTGAGGTACCGGTAGCCCACCGCCACTAAGAATGTTCTGCGGACCTACAGCGCCGTTAGGGTTACCTTCTTCATCCAGAGGCACCCAGTTGGATACCAGAATTGGATCTGTTCCCGAAGGGTTCAGTGTGCCATCTGAATTGAACTGCAGGGCAAATCGCGCCAGGGTTGCGTCCTGATTCTGAGGTGGCGGTAAGTTTGGATCCGGATCGCCTACATTCTGACCATCAATCAAAGCATAGGTTGACCAACGGTTTTCTTCTTCTCCCGGCACATCCGGAGTGAAGCGCTCTTTAACAAAGTAGAGGCTTAACGCGTGCGGGTTACCCAGGCTGTCAAAAATCGTCAGTGATGTTGCTGCGTTGTAGGTGTCCTGATTGGTTGGATCGAAAGTGTTCAGCGAAAACTGGCTGAACGCATTTTCATCCAACACCCCAAAAATGTTTGTCACCGCAGGCTGTGCATTAGCCATGGTGATACCTTCGTTGAGTGTGATATCAATTTCACCACCCACTGCCGCAACCGAATTACCGGTTGTATCCAGGGTTACGCCAAGACTCTGGGTACCACGAATACCAAGCGAATCAGCTACGTCCCCAGCCGCTGCAAATACAAGGTCGTTACCTACCTGATCCTGGATCACAAGATCGCCATTGGTATCAATGACAGAACTGACCGTGCCTAAACCCGGCAAACCAAGGTTGATACTGTCATTCAGCTCAGCAAGTGTTGTGCCTGACACGCTTACACCATTGATACTGAGCTCCAGCGTGCCACTGGTATTGTTGTACTCGGTGGCAGCAAGAGTCGCTGTTGTACGAGCCGATGCGCTCACATCGGGCAACGTGGCACTGGCAAACTGCGCCGCGATTTGAGCAGCGGTCGCGCCTTCATCTATATCAACAGAAATGACGTTGCCATCAGGATAAATAACATCCACAGACTGAGCGCTGTAGCCATTACTGGCAGCCGCGATGCCCGGTGCAGAAACACCTGTTGCAAGGCTCAACACTCCAGTCAAATCACTTTGCGAAACACCAATATTCGATGTATCGAGATTGCCAATACTAATGGATGAAGATTCACCGGGGACCGATGTTACAAACTGTATCCGCGATGAATCAGCAGGGTCCAGCTGCACACTTACACTGATACCTGAGGCGATCAGTTCATTTTCAATATCAGCAATAAGCGTTGCAGCATCGCTGATATCAGAATCCAGGTTGATCGTTGCAGTACCGTTGTTACCACTGGAGCCTGCCAGCGTTATGTCAAAGGTCGCTGAAGAAATATTGCCTATTGCCCCCGCAGTTGCGGTACCGCCGTAAGGGTCCGGATTAATATTACTGGCACCAGCGCCACCGCCCTGACCGAGAGCTATACCGCCCAGAACAGCTTCAATATCTGCCTGGGTTACGCCCGCACCGAGTACTGCAGAATCGTTAGGATCAATCGTAATCGTGCTGTTTTCACCGCTGTTTACGGCAAAAAACTGCAAACGACCCAGATTCACCGGATCTTCACGGACGTCAATGCCAATGCCAGAGCCCGCCAGATCGTTACGCACGGCATTAATCAGATCCTGAAGCGTAGCAATATTGGTGTCGAGGTTAACTGTCACCGTGGTGTTTTCAGTTGGCACACTGGAGCCTGTCAGCTGTACCTGAAAAGAAGAGGCCGCGGCACCGGAAAAATCAAAAGGCGTTAGAACAGCATCAGCGCCTATGCTTGATTCAGTATCTACGGAGAAGTCGAAAGGTATCGGCGCACCACTGGTGTCCAGACGCGATGCTGTTGGTGACGGTAATCCTAACTGTGCAACCCCTACTGCTGAACCGGTTGTAACCAGCTCACTACCCAGCTCCGATAAAACTGTCGCCCGCGCATCCAGGTTGACATTCGCTTCAACCAGCGTGGTCTGCAGAGGTGGCAGGTTCGATGTATTAATCTGCAGGTCACCCAGAATACCACTTAGCGTACCGCCATCGTTCGCGGTAAAGCCCTGCACTCGAGCACCGGTGCTGCTGGTGATAAAGCCTTCGTTATCCACAGCAAATGAGCCCGCTCTTGTATAGGAACGGGCACCATTATCACTGAGGACAAAAAAGCCGTTGCCATCAATCGCCAGATCCAGGCTGTTATTGGTAAAAGATATTGTGCCCTGCTCAAACTGCTGGGCAACGTTGGCAAGCTTTACACCAGCCCCAACCTGGTTGGATCCGGTGCCTAAAAGACTAGACGCGTAAACGTCTGCAAATTCAGCCCGACTGGCCTTAAAGCCGATGGTGCTGGCGTTGGCAATATTGTTACCCGTGATCTGAAGATCACTGGACGCTGCACTCATACCACTGAGGGCGACATTAAACGACATACGACATTCTCCTTGTTAGACGTATTAGCGAGAGTTACTGCTTATTGAATTTCTTTGATCTGCGATGCAGACACTGAAGCACCGCCCGCAAGATTTGCGATCAGGCCTTCATTGGTTATCGAGACGCTGACCACCTGGTCAGGCAAACTCACTTCGTACTGTTGCTGGATACCATCCACATCGGCAAACGCAGCGATGCGATAAAAATCCTGTGGGACGGGTTCGCCGTTCTGGCTCAAACCATCCCAGTTAAAGCGCACTTCACCCGGCGGACGCGCACCCAGTTCGACCTGCTGCACCGTCTGGCCACTGCTGTTCTGGATGGTGACGGTCAGTTCACCTACGGCCTCAGGCACCGAGATACTGCCTCCGATTCCGCCGCTGGTATTCAATGCTGTCTGGTTGGTGGGTATAAGTACGTTGCGGCCGACAAGCGCTGAAGCATCCACTGCAGCACTGGCACGAAAGGTTGAAACCAGAGAATCCATGGATTCATTGAGATTCTGAATACCTTCAACACTCGAGAATTGAGCCAGCTGAGCGATAAAGGCTTCGTTTTTAGCGGGCTCAAGCGGATCCTGATTTTGAACCTGGGCGATCATCAGTTCCAGAAAGGCGGTTTTACCCAGCTCTTCCTCTTTTTTCCCGGGGCCGGTTGCACTGGCGTTCAGATCACTCACAGTACGTACCGAAGACAGCTCTAAACTCATAATATTTCCCTAAAACTTTATTGACCCAGCGTGAGCAGACGCTCAGACAGGGTTTTGGCAGTGTTCATCACTTCTACGTTGACCTGGAAGGAGCGGCTGGCAGAAATCATATTGGCCATCTCCTCCACCACACTGACGTTGGGATATGCGACATATCCTTTATCGTCCGCGTAAGGATGATCAGGTTCGTAGCGCATGTTGAGCGGCTTGTCAGATTCGATGATGCCGGGCACGGTGACTGCTGTACTGGCCTCCTGAGAGTCCATCGCGTTGTCGAGACTCGCCTGAAAAACCGGGTATCGGGCCCGGTAGGTATCCGCCGGGTTCGCCGACACACTTTCTGCATTGGCGATGTTGCTGGCAGTGGTATTCAAGCGCAGAGATTGCGCCGCCATACCGCTGCCTGAAACATTAAATACATCCATAATGGCCATCAGATTTACTCTCCTTTAAGCGCCGTGATCATGCCTTTGAACTTACTGTTCAAAAATTGGAAGCTGGCCTGAAATTGCAGATTGTTCTTGGCAAACTCAGCCTGTTCCAGCTGGGTATCAACGGTGTTGCCGTCTAACGAGGGCATTATCGGGTTGCGGTATTGCAGCGAAACGTCAACGCCGGGACCCTGATCCGCTGCGAAATGACGGTTGTCAGTGCGCATAACACGCCCGCCACGGGGCTCGCTGGTGCCCGCCGACTTGTGCGCCTGCAGGATCGAATTGAAATCGATGTCCCGGGCTTTGTATCCAGGTGTGTCCGCGTTGGCGATATTTCGCGCCAGTATTTCTGTACGTTCGGCTCGTAATTCCAACGCCTTGGCATGCACACCCAGTGCATTATCAATACTGATGGTCATCCATTGCTCCTACCTCAGACTGCCCGCACGTTCCCCTGTGGAATTGCGCCAGCAAATAACTTTGATGTGGACAACAAAGCAAACTCCGTGCCAATTCGATTAAACCGATGTAAACCGAGCATTCTGGACAAAGCGAGGGTGGCACAGCATTTTCCGGCAACCTTTTGCCGGGCCAAGCGGTAAAAAGTTGCCGAAAAACAGGCCAAATGAATCTGCATTGTATTTATTGCCGGCAAGCGCCGGTGATTTGACGCGAATGTGCTATTACTTCGACGTCACCTGATGAGTTATCCATCATGAATAAAAGAAACACGCCAAAATCAGTTCTTGCCCTGTTGCTGTTCTGGGTCTGCCTTTTTCAAAACATATCGGCAGCCGCAAACGTCATAGAAGAACAGGTCGGTGCTGCATTAGAAAAACAGCTGGCTGAAAGCTATCCATCGGGTAACTACAAGTTTTCCGTTTTACCGGTAAGCAGCGCGGCCCACCTGAAACCCTGCAACGCTTTTGCCACCGAGATAAAAACCAAAGTCCTTGCTGGACGTGTACCTGTACACGTGCGCTGCCTGGGCCCAGCTAACTGGTCCCTTTATGCCAGTGCTGAGGTGAAAGTAGCCGTCGAAGTGATCACCACTCGCCGCGCAATCAGTCGCGGGGAGATGGTCTTGGACAGCGACCTTCAAGTGAAGACGCAATGGTTACAACAGTCGAGGAACAACCATATTTCTGAGGTTAAAGAAGCTGTGGGTAAAATCGCGCGGCGCGCATTAAGAGCAGATACCGTGTTAAACACCAATCACCTTGAAGCGCCGATGGCAGTTGGTAAAGGTGAACGTGTACGCATCACCGCCAACAGCGGACGTGTCAGCATTACCTCTTACGGTACGGCCATGGCCAGCGGTCGCATCGGTGAGCAGATACAGGTACGCAACGACAGCTCTGCACGGATCATCAGACCCTGGATTATCGGACCTGGGCAGGTGGGTACCGTCGCGCCGGATTTCCAGGGCTGACGCTCTATCGTGATAAAAAAGGCGCCAGGCAGACTTTTTTGAAATTTCTACTAAAGTTAATTCAATATCAGTCGATATCGACTATAGGTAAATTTAAGTTGAAGCACTGAATCATGGCTATTGATATCAACAATCGGTTTGGCGGACTTGCGCAGACCAACCCTAATGCCGCTGAGCGGACCCGCGAGGAGTCGAAGTCACCCCGCAGTGACGCGACGGGGCAACAGGAAGGCCGTGCGCAGGATTCGGTGAAAATCAGTGACGATGCAGCTGTCTTAAAAGCTCTGGAAGCGCGCCTGGAACGCCAGGAGAGTTTCGACGATGCCCGGGTTAAAGAGATCCGGCAAGCCATCGAGCAAGGCCAATACCCCATAGATAATCAGCGACTGGCGGAAAATTTTCTAAAACTAGAATCCAAGCTTTAACAATGAGTTACAATGTCAATCGATAGTGATTTCGAGAATATCAGTCCCGATGAAAGCGCCCTTGAAACACTGTTTCGGGCACTGATTGCACTGCTCATTGATGAACGAGATGCACTCATTCATCATGATGGTGCGCGCCTGGAGACGCTCTCTTCGCAGAAACTCGACGTCTGCAATCACATCAGCCAAAGGCTTGCTGCAGCGCCGGCCCTGGGACAAAAAATCGCGCAGGCAGCCGCCGGCGAAACCCAGACAGACTTACAGCTTGACCCCAGTCACGTTTCGCTTGCGCAACTGGCAATGCAAGCCCGAGATTACAACCTGGTTAACGGAAAGATCCTGCACCGTTCGCAACAATCTGTTCGAGAGATATTGGGAATAATGAGTGGACAGTCCATTGACGGTTTATACGGACAATCCGGACAGCAGGACGCCAAAGGCTCCGCAAACAGCGGTGCTTTTATCAGCGCCTGAAACACCCCCCCTGTGGATACCAGATAATGTCTGAGCCGGAACCAGCCTTGGGTGCGGTGCTACCGGCTGACAGTCGCTATCTACGCAATGTCGATGACATCGTCAGCTGCCTGAAACAACTGCGCGACCGTCGTTCAAACCTGTCTATCCGAATTGATCAAACAGAAGAAACTTATCAGTGCAAGCTTCTGGACGTAGGTGATAACAGCTTCCTGATTGAAGATGTTCAACCTCGGAGCGGCATCGGAGCACTTCGACAAAGTAAGCGACTGAGCCTGTCGGCGCGAGCCGAAGGCATGTTTGTGTTCATCGAAAAAACCAAACTGCTGAAAATGGATGCCGAGCGAGGAATACCGTTCTTTGAACTCAAGCTGCCTACCTCAATACTGTCACAACAAAGACGCCGAGCGGCAAGATTCCGCTTACCGCTTCGGGTAAGCGCAAGCGGCGCACGCATCAGCTTCTTCAGCGAAAAGGAAATCTCAGGTCGAATAATCGACATATCTGCTGGCGGGTGTCGCGCTGAATTTGACCTGCCCGCGCCTTGGCCGGTGAAAAATGACGATTGCTTTGACAGCTGCGCGATTACGATCCCGAAGCTGCTGGAGCTGCATGGCCAGGCGGTCATCCGCCATTTCCATGAGAACAAGCACAGTCAGAAACTGGTGTGCGGCATTGAGCTGACAAAAATGCATGTCACAGACCGACGCCGGCTTGAACACTTCATTCAGACCATCTCACGAAACGCCGAGTCGACTTAACCCTTTTCGATATGCTGATAGCGGCGCCAATCCGCGACCTGATCAACATCCCAGATCACCGGCAACTGAACAACCGACAACTGCGCCTCAGCAGCTCGCTCCAGACTCTGCGCCAGCACAGTCGAGCTGCCCCATGCAATATCCTGGAACAGTGTCACTGCCGCCGGCATGGCAGAGTGACATATGCCAACCAGGCCATACCCACCATCTTCAGCAGGACCAAACACAACGTCGTTGCTCTGCAGCGCGCGGAAGGCCTGCCGCACATAACGCCCGTCAATATCCGGGCAGTCCGTGCCAACCAGCACTGCGACCGACACATCCGCTAAGAACATCTGCGCCAGACAGTGATACATGCGCGCGCCCAGATCGCCTTCGCATTGATACCGCAGATCGAAGTGATACCGATCCGCCCACTGGGCGACAATAGGCGCATCGTCAGTAACCCACAATTCGCAGCGTGCATCCGCCTGCAGCTGCAACCTGCCCAGGCAACCCTGCACCAGCTCAATGTGCGCCGCCAACGCTTCGGCTTTGCCCAACGATTTCGCCAGGCGGGTTTTCGTTTTACCCATTACAGGCGTTCGGGTGAACACGGCTAATGCCTGTTGAAGATCATCAACCACGGTAGTAAGCGCGCGCCAGAACAACGGGATCCGCACCAAAAAAGTAGCGCCAACGGAATACCCACATTGAAAGTACTGTTCGAATAACCCCCGCCTGGCGCCAACGGCGCGGCGACGTTTCAACAGTTGCGCTCAAGGCCACAAACGCACTTGATGCAACCGCTTTGAGGCGCCGGCTGACTTCAATATCTTCCATCAGCGGCTGTGCCGGGAAACCACCTATTGCTTGAATCAGACCTGCATGGAAAAACATGCCCTGATCTCCGGTACAGATTCTGCTGAATCGAGACCGCAGGTTCATCGTGTGCGCAATCAGCGCGAGGCCCTGTATTTTCACGTTGAAGCGACCCCAACGAGGCTCATCAGCCTCGACCAGGCCACCCAACTGGCTTACCGCAGCGCTGCTTGGTAAACCATCTGCATGCAGAACCCATATCCAGGGCACGGCAGAGGCAGCGACACCACAAGCGATCTGCATGCCTCTCCCTGGTGGATGGGCTATGTATTCATGCGGAGTGGTCACAAGCCTTTGCGTCACCTCGCTGGCAGCGCCATCCACAACAATGGCCGCCAGTTGATGTTCCGCCAGCCACTTCAACAACACCTTCAGGTGATTATCGTCGTGCAACACGGGCACAATCACCCTGAGGTGCTGCACCAACCCAGCGTGTGTTGCCAATTCTTTTATGCTGCGATCACCTCTGCAGCCAATCCCTGCATGCCCGCTATCGGGTCAGCACCAAGTGCCTGCAACGGTACCAGTAAACGATGGGCGCCCGCAGCAGCCAGGGCCTGCACCGCTTCATCACCCCCCTGACCTGTCCACATGCAGGTTATTTCCACCTGGGAGGCATCACGATCGTGTGCATCGCACGCGGCTCTAAGTTTCTCCATATCGGCGCTCAACTCACCGGCATCGGTAGTGGGTGCAAACCAACCTTGGCCATATTTGGCCACTCGATCGAAGGCTTTGCCTTTATTGCCACCAATGACAACGGCCAGTTCCGGAGCGCTGGGAAAGCTTTTGAAACCCTGCCAATCAAGGTACTCACTTTGATGATCCGCCACCCCACCCTGCCAGAGCTTCTGCATGGCCTCGAGATAATCATCAAATCGAGCACCGCGCTTTTCGAATGGCACGCCAAGCGCTTCGAATTCTTCGCGCAGCCAGCCTATGCCTAAACCCAGCAGCAGCCTTCCCTGGGAAACGAAGTCCAGACTTGCGGCCTGCTTGGCCAGATACAGAGGATTCGCCTGGGGCAGAATATTTACCCCTGTACCCAGCTTGAGTGTTTTTGTGGCTGCCGCAATATGCGACAGTGCAATCAGCGGGTCGACAAAATTGGTTTCCGGCGCAGCGCCCATTTTGCCCGTGGGGCTGTACGGGTACTTGGACTGATAATCCAGCGGCACAATGACGTGCTCAAAAGTCCATACAGATTCGAAGCCTAAACCTTCTGCCAGTTGCGCAAGCCCAGTCATCTGCTCTACTGAATCTACCCCGATATTCACCGGTATAATGCCGATTTTCATTCTGCTGTCCTCTGCTGTAATTATTCCTCAGAGAAGGATTGTGCACGTTTCATCCGCAGATTAGAAACCCGCAAAAGCCAGCGCAAGGGCGCAAAAGGTTGCCCACCCGGGTGAAATACGTGTTAACTTTTGCCGCTTAATTTTGGAGAGAATTGAGGGAGAGACCTTGTACGAAGAGTATCAGAATATCTGGCAAAGCCTGATTGCACCCGGTGCGGAATTCGAAATAGCAGTGAAAGAAATTCGCGGCAATCCAACCCGGATTTACGCCAACGCACCCGGCAACATGCGCGATGTATTTCTAAGTTCTGCGCAATTTGGTGACAACGATTACCTGGTCTACGAAGATGAACGGCTGACCTATAACGAAGTACATACCCGTGTGAAACAGATAGCCGCCTGGCTTGGTGAACAGGGTGTGCAACCTGGCGATCATGTTGCCATCGCCATGCGCAACTATCCTGAATGGCTGCAGGCTTACTGGGCAACCTTATATATCGGCGCTACCGTTGTGGGCATGAATGCCTGGTGGACCGGTCCAGAAATGATGTACGCGCTCAACGACTCGATGCCCAAGGTGCTCATCCTCGACCAGGAACGCTATGACCGTCTGGCGGGTCATGAAAAAGAAATTGAGCAGATCAAGCTGGTCGGCGTTCGCATGACGGACATGCCTGCTGGCGTTGTTCCGTGGGACGACTTGTTAAAAGGCAGCGCAGACGTGGCGCTGGTAGACATTGACCCGGATAGCGACGCCTGTATTTTCTATACCTCAGGTACCACCGGTCATCCGAAAGGTGCACAACTTACCCACCGTGGCTGTGTGAGCAATATTTATTCGATGTTGTTTGCTGGCGCCATACTACGAACTATCGCGGAACGTAAGGGTCTCATAGAACCCGGCGCACCGACCCCTGCACCTTCCGCACTTGTCACAACACCCCTTTTCCATGTTACCGCCAACAACTGTGTTGCCCAGGGCACCACTCTGGCTGGCGGCAAGCTGGTGCATATGTACAAATGGGATGCTGGCGAAGCCCTGGAATTGATCGAACGCGAAAAAGTCAGTGCCATGAGCGGGGTACCGACGATGGCCCGGGAATTGATCTCACACCCCAGGTTCGCCGAAACAGACACCTCCAGCCTACTCAGCCTGGGTGGCGGCGGCGCCCAGCTGCAACCCGATCTGGTTGCAAAAATTGATTCTACCGTCAGCACCGCCCGACCGAATACCGGCTACGGTATGACCGAAACCTGCGGCATCATCACCTCCATAGGCGGCGACTTTTTTGTCGATAAGCCGGCAAGTTGTGGTCCTGCAATGCCCTGCTTTGAAGCCAGGATTGTTGACGCCGATGGCAAAGAGGTCGAACTGGGTCAAACCGGTGAACTGCTGGTACGCGGCGCTCAGGTGATTCGCGGTTACCTGAACCGACCTGACGCGACGAGTGAAACCATTGAAGAAGGCTGGCTGCATACAGGTGATGTGGCACGTATGGATGAACATGGCTTCCTGTTTATCGTCGATCGCATAAAGGACATGGTGCTTCGGGGGGGTGAGAACATCTATTGCGCTGAAGTTGAAAGCGCGCTGTTCGAACATCCTGCTGTGGCTGAGTGTTCTGTCTTTGGTGTACCTGATGACCGTCTTGGTGAAGAGGTTGGCGTTGCCGTGCACCTGAAAGCGGGCGCTAAAGCCAGTGCAGAGGAACTGCGCACCCACCTGCGGGCACTCATAGCAGCGCCAAAAATACCCCGTTACATCTGGTTCACCGACGATGCGTTACCCAGAAATGCCTCTGGTAAGTTCCTCAAACGCGAACTGCGAGAATCACTGACATTGGCAGACGCCTCTTAGGTCTTAACCCGCCGCTCACAGGTCTGCTTATCAGCGCCGCGCTCGCGGCGCTGAACTTCCGCGCGCCTCAAGTCACTTCCTGGTTAACAATGTCCTGGTAAGTCTCTCTCAGCACATTCTTCTGCACTTTACCCATCGTATTGCGGGGCAGCGAATCCACATTTACAACTCGCTTGGGCTGTTTAAAACGGGCCAGCTGACTACCCAGCGCGGCATCAACCTGGGCCAATGTGACCGGCGCGTGCACCGGCACAATAACCGCTACTACCGCTTCACCAAAATCTGCGTGGGGCACGCCGATAACAGCACTCTCGCGAACCTCTGGCATCTCATCCAGGACACGCTCGACTTCTTTTGGATAAACGTTGTAACCACCTGAAATAACTAAATCTTTTGCCCTGCCAACAATCGATAAACGACCTTCCTCATCAACCGTGCCGAGGTCGCCCGTGATGAAAAAACCGTCCTTGCGAAATTCACTGGCAGTCTTTTCCGGCATATGCCAGTAGCCGCTGAAAACGCTTGGACCTTTTACTTCAATAGTGCCCACCTCCCCTGTGGGCACTTCGTTGCCATCACCGTCAGCAATACGCAGTTCGAGCCCGGGTAATGGAAACCCAACCGTTGCCGGCAATCGTTCACCGTCCAATGGATTACTCGTATTGATGATGGTTTCACTCATGCCGTAACGCTCAAGGATGGTATGGCCGGTGCGGGTCTGCCACTGTTCGAAAACCTGCTCTGTCAGCGGCGCGGAACCGCATACAAACAATCGCATGTGATCCAGATTTACAGCGGGAAATTCCGGCAACGCAAGCAACCGGGAATAAAAGGTAGGCACACCCATCATCACCGTGCATTCCGCCAGCGCTTGCTGCACGCTGGCGGCATCAAATTTATTCATCCAACGCATGGGTGTACCATTTAACAGCGCGCAATGACTGGCGATGAACAACCCATGCACATGAAATACAGGTAACGCATGCAACAGGACATCATCGGTCTGCCAACCCCAGGCAACGGACAAAGCCTCTGCATTAATCGTTAAGTTCGCATGACTTAGCATGGCGCCTTTCGAGCGACCTGTGGTACCTGACGTATACACAATGGCGGCCAGGTCATCGCCGTGGCGAGGTGCAATCGATGGAGTACCCAGATTTAGATGGATGTCAGAAACACCCGGCATGGGCACTTCAGCAAAAAAAGACCCCGCACCCTGAGCATCGAGCGTGGCACTGGTCACGTCGGAGCGGGCTCGACTACCCACAAATAAGGCGGGCTCGGCATCCTCTACAAAGTACTTCAGTTCAGCTTCTGTGTAGGCAGTGTTCAGCGGCACGTAAACGCCCCCGACACACAAGGTAGCCAGATAAAGGGCCAGGTTGTGCGGAGATTTCTCGACCTGCACCACAACCCGATCGCCTGGCGTTACGCCGAATCCAATCAATCGCTCAGCTGCGACAGCAACTACCCCGCGTAAGTCTCTGAATTTCCATACCTTGTGATCATCTAGAATCAAACAAGGTTTTTCACTATGCGCGGTAAATACCGCATCCAACTGCGTATAAAGATTCTGCATTTCAACCTCCCTGCTGACGCCAGTATAGTTCCGTGGCCTGTTAGAGATATAGGCTTTAACTGCTTGATTTAGCGCGCAAACAGGGTTGCTCTATTTGTTTCAGTTTGTTACCGTGCGCGCATAGATTATGCCCTGCCGGGTCCGGGGAACGGCACGCGTAAAGTTTTTACCAGAGCCAGCATTCAGCGTGATGGCAACAGTGAAAGCGACGCGATGAGACTGAACGTCTCACATTGATACTCTAGATTCCCAGCAAAACAATAAAAATTGGGGAATTTTCAAGCCGCCGCAAGGCGGCTTTTCTTTGCTCGATTGACCCTGATACCCCAGAATACCTCCTTTTCTTTTTCCCAAGAGCAAGTACAGGCCAGGCGTGAATACCTCAAGCACAACACACCCATTTGTTATTCCGCGTATCTCAGGCATTGTGCACAACGCCCACCTCACCCTGCCAGGCAGCAAATCCATCGCCTTGCGCCAACTGGCTATGGCGGCACTGGCTCGCGGTACAAGCGCGATTGCAGGTGTGCCCGACTGCGATGATGCTGATGCCATGCTGGAATGTATTGCCGCACTTGGTGCAGACGTGTCCAAAGACGGTGATCGAATTCTTGTGACCGGTCCGATCGATCTGCACAAAGACATCTCTCTGAATGCGAGAATGAGTGGCGCATCAACCCGGTTGCTGATTGGCATAGCCGCACTGCGCAGCGGCCGTACCACCCTGGACGGCCACAGTTCATTGAGAGTTCGCACAAACGCCCCCCTTTATGACGTGTTGCGCGAGCAAGGCTGCCAGGTAGAGTCTGCAAGCGGCGGATTACCCGTGACCATATCCGGCCCCTTGCGACCGAAGCCCGTGATGCAAATTGATGCCAGCTTATCCAGTCAATATGTCACTGCACTGTTGTTATGTGCACCTTATTGCGCAACGAATACAGAGGATGGCGCTGAAAAACAGCTGATCCACATTACCGGGGATCTGGTATCCCGACCCTATATCGACATCACGCTTAACGAAATGAAAAAACGTGGCGTGCATAGCCAATGGATCAACGCGCAAACCCTGGAAGTCGAACGTGGGGCTTACCAGGCGGGTGAAATACAGATAGAAGGTGATGCAACCGCGGCAACTTACTTCGCCGCCCTGGCTACACTGCATGGGGGTAGCCTGACACTGGATAACCTGGGAGACAGCACAGTGCAGGGTGATTACCAGTTCTTTACCGTCATGGAGCAATTGGGCGCAGATGTTGTGCGCAACAGAAATCAAACACACATCAAGGGCCCGACAACCCTGTCCGCAATAGATTCGATAGACATGACAACGATGCCAGACGCGGCGTTGACCCTTATCGCTATGGCGCCACTACTTCCCGCAGCACTGACCATCAGCGGTTTAAGCTCACTGCATCACAAAGAATGTGACCGCCTGGAATGTCCGGCAACAGAATTTGCCGACATGGGGATAAACGCGCAGACAACCGATGAGAGTATTTGTGTTGAGCCACTGGGCGAACAAGCCATGCGTCCGCACACGTTACGAACCTATCACGATCATCG